ACGTCATCTAATTAACCATCGAGATGACCTCCGAAGACTGCCGACGGTAATATGACCCTATATAAACATAAATATAAATATAAACAGATAGGGACCACGTGCAATTGGATTTTTCTATGTCTGTTTGATTTCATATTTTAGGTTAAAAGGTATTGTTTATCATCGTTTTTACCTGTATAAGAATGATTTTTGTGGATCGAATCGGTCAACCAAATGGTCCATCCTTCTTTCACTTTCAATGATGACATTCCTGTCCTTTAAATAGCTGAATACATGCGTACCCCATCTCCAGCTAAGGGGTTAAATTAAAGGTCACATGAATACGGATTCAATGAGTTCGAATTATTCACTTGATAATTCATCAGCGATGTTTCTTAACTTATTTTGACAAAATTGAACGAATCTGACTGCTAAAAGCAAATTATTACTAACAAAAAAAAATCATATTTTGATTTTTTTTATAACTCGGAGCTAATTTTGCCCCTTTTAAGTTCTTCTGAAAAACAATATCATGTGGAAATGTTCTTATTTCTACACATTAAGCATTTAATTGTGATGATTTTGATATTTAATAAAAAACCTTTGCTAGGCAACCTTAATTCCTTTACCGGAACACAATAAAGTTTCTACCCTAAGGTCATTAATGTTATACATAATAACTTATTTGGAGAGGGGGCCAACAACGCCCCTTGTCATACCTTGTCCTTTACCAATTTATCGTATGTGACTGTTTTCTTCAAATCTTTGTCCAATATCCTATAAGACATTTATGTGTGATATTTGAGCTCAATATTTCATAGCACTGCTGTAAAGAAAATCTCTTATGTGCACATATGGAGCGTTATGTTAATTTTACCTCGTTTCTGTGCACATATTTAGCTTTATCGACACCTAGCAAAACAATACTCAAAATTGCAGGAGTCGTTTTTACCTGAATTGATGCGCGAGATGTTGCATTGTAATGAAGGTCTAGCTCGCTTTGACTTTGACATGAAGAAAGCAATAAAACTGCCTTTTTCTTTGTTTCGAGTTTTGTCAAGTCTGTGTAGGGATTAATTAACTCATCATAGATACCAGGATTAAAAGTGCGTACGCCAGACGCTTTTGTCTACAAAAGACTCGATCATCATCAGTGATGCTCGAATAAAAAAGTTGAAACGGCCAAACAAAGTACGAAGTTGAAGAGCATTGTGGAACCAAAATTGAGAAACATTTTGCCAAATACAAATAAGAGCATCTATTCCTGTGGTAGAAAATCCTTAGCGTTTCGAAAAATTCAATGTATTGTTAAACACTCAATTTATAATTCTGACCATTTTGATGATAATTCATGTCAACTCAGAAGTGCTGTGTACTAATTTTGTGTCATGAATTGATACATGAAATATTTTCCTATTATTTTATCTGAACTTGTCATTTGTTTTTTTCATTTTTGTTTTTAAATATATTTGTAATATATGAATTATATGAAATATTTCAACTCACCAGATACCAGATTCACGTGTACACTTGCAGAAATTAAAATTAAACCAACACTTCCAAGCCTAACCATTTTCATATACGTTCATAAACAGTATATGTTTAATTATTACTTTCGGCAATAATCCGAATTATCTGTGATGCGGTGTTAGTTTAAGTACGCATTATTTTGTTTCTATAGACATAGTGTAAAGATAACATCTTTATATTCGATTTTTACTTTTAATATACAACCCGTCACTTCCGTGTTTATTTTGTCCAGGGGCATAGCTACCCGGAGGCACGACAGCACGTGCATCCTCGTCGTTTTCATACAAAAAAAAAGACCCCCAAAAAAAAACAGAAAGAGAGATAGAGAGAGAGGGACAAAGTTAACATATAGGAATTGGTCTTTCTGTGTAAGCATTTTAAAAACTACCCAAAGAATAAAAGCCAGAGGAATACACATGCAGCGAAATTTTTAATCCTGTAAGACATGTATACATACAACTGGTGTAAACGTAGCGGAACTTTTTATATTACGGGCATTGTTTAGAAAATACCAGCTACAGAGTTGTCGGTACCACCTCCATAACGTATATATTCGCCTTGGGGGGGGGGGGGGGGGGGGGGGGGGGAAGCATTATCCTTTTAGGGTTAACAAAAAAAACCTTGAACATTATTATTTTCTGCTTCGCCCCAAAGCACACATCTTACTAGAACTAAGACTATTCCACTCGTTTCGAGGTTCGATCCGGGAATAATGACTGTTACCTTGTGAACTAGTTCAAAATTTACTAAGTATGTAGGTCTTGACAACACGAATAGTTCATTTTCACATCACGTCAACGGATTATCGTCCTGGTGTGCATGTAATATTTGTTACCGGACACTTTAATAACCATTCAGCCAATCAATAGCTTCCGTATACTAGTAGATGAGAAGTTGGAACTGCTGTTATAAAAAAGTACACAATTTCAAGTACATGTATTACGTTTTATTTATTTTACAAAAGAAGCATCTTGTATATAGATTCGTAATTCGACATATGGTCCGGTGTCTATATGGCCGGTAATACGAATGGTTGATTGTAAAAGCATTTAAATAAATTGTTAATTCTAACTCGTTTTACTGGACTATTTGTTCATTCGATTTTATAATGAATTCTCTGTCCGAGTCGGACACTAAACTGTTGATTTTTGTTCGAAAGATACACCAAACTTTTAATACACGTACCTTCACTCTTATCATCTAGATATTGCCTGTTAATTAACAAACTCAGATCATGAAAAAGATCGTGGTCAATATAAAGTACCATTCCTTCTGAGACTTCGAGAATTCCTAACTGCGTAAAATTAGAAATTCCTTTTTCTCTCTCTTGTAGAGTTTACCCACAAATGTTTTAAACATCTAAATACATATGTTAAGCAAACTTTTGGAGAATGTGTCCACCAAGTATTTGGTATCCAATGGTGTTTATGCTAACAGAAACTCCACATATATTATTGTGTTTATGTATATTGTTTGTTTTTTATACAGCTACTTTGCTCAATACAAACACTAGCATGTGGAACAAATCTCAGTGATTTTAAAAGCTCTCACGGCGTATAAAAAACGCAAACAGCAATGTCTAGTCTTCATTCGAATCGAAGTTAAACAAATAGATGACCAAAAAACCACAACAAAATTGTACAAGTTTTATTACAGTTGTTATTGTTTTGAAACGCTATATATGCGGAGCTTCCGGAGGTAGGGGCTTTGCCCCCTACCCCCTACTAGGGCTTTGCCCCCTACCCCCTACCAGGGCTTTGCCCTGGACTAACTTGGGGCCATAACCGGCCCCCAGTCCCCTCGCCCTTTAGTTTGTGACTCCACTTCATTAAGAAGGTAGCTACGCCCCTGTTGTCTGTCTGGTCCTTCATTGTCTGATTTCCTGGTACTTTTTTTGTTGGAATTCCTCAATATGGCTCAGATCTTACACAGTTAGGGTTGGGCGCTCTAAAATAATTTGACCCCGCCGCATTCTTATATTCCTGTCCCAAATCATCTCTTATTAATTCAGCGGTTGATGTTGATGTAAATCAATTTTTTTTCCTTTATTGTGTTTTATATAAATCAGGTCTTTAGTTTTCTAGTTTCAATTGTTTAACATTTGTCATAACGGTACCTTTAAAGTTGGCTATGCGGTTTGAGTTTTGCTCATTGTTAAAGGCCGTACCACGGTGACATATAGCTTTTAACTTTTAAGTCATTTGGTCTCTGGTGGAAAGTTGTCTCATTAGCAATCATACCACATCTTTGTATTTTGATATTATTCCCACTTATCGGTATAATTCCCCAAATCAGGGATTGACGTATAGTGCTTATTCAATCTACCCAAGTCATTTCATGATAATAGTTGTCATTGTGTACATATTTTTGTAAAGTGCAATATTGTTCACTTTAAGATCGTGGTTCGAATGAGAACGGAATAAAAATTAATGGCATCATAAACTTAATTTATTGAAGTGATTCATGTTTATTCAGATGATATTTTAATCATGGTGTCTTGGCTGGGAATTTCGCCTTTTTCGTCATCTTGTCCGCCAGAAAAGGCAAATATCCTGAATATCCAGAATCATATCTAAATCGCTGTTAATTGATGCTTTATTTGAGGTATAATGCGGCTACAAAGGCGTAGAAGGACTTTTTTGCACCCATCCCTATATTTGCAAAACTAATGCAAATTGAAAGAATGAAAATGAGAGAACACTGAATAATTCAAGACTATATAGATGTGTGTGACCCAGGTTGTGTGTTTATTTTTGCTTGTCGTTTTCAAAAGTTTACTGGCCCTCCATGTTTGATTATGTTTCTGTCTATTCCTACGCCATAAACCCAAATCATAAAAAGGATACTTTCTCATTCCTATGATTAACATATCATATTTATAGCTTTCATATTTCAAAGTTTGTGGGCCAAATAATTGTGTTAAATTTGCTATAGTATATATATAGATCCACGTGGAAAATAATAATATATGGTCGAAATATATAGACTACTGCTATTATAATATCGTATAGATAAAAACAAAAACACATCAATTAAGTGAAAATAATTTAAAATATTACAAAAAAGCTTTTTAAAGATTGAAACACAAACATGAAAACAAATATGATCAGTTAGAAAAAAAAATGGGGTCCATTCCCCAAGCGCATGTGGAAAATGATGAAAAACTACATTGGACACCCCATGTGTAAGAGCGGATAAGTAACATATAAGATATCAGTCCGTACGAAACATGCCATGGCACACGGTGAACATTTTGACCGTTGTAGAAAGCACAGATATATGTCTCTGTAGAATATATGCTTTTTTTAAAGCTTTTCGAATCGCAAAGGAAAAACACTTTTGTTTGCGTTTTTTTATTATTAGATATTTATTACTGTGCGGAGTATTCTTTTTAATTTCCAATATACATAATTATTTTTCAAGATATTATTTGTTTGATAACAGTTTTCATATTTCCGCGCGAAAGTATGTTACAGTTATCTCCCATTGTATAGTCATGTGACCCGGAACATCAACTTTCTCCATGTTGAAAAATATGAGCAAAAGAGGAATTGATAAGAAAATATCCTGTTTCCCCAACAATTAGGCTTCATGATTTGATAACACGTCACTTAACTTTCTCAATGTCTAATAGCGGCACATTACAGGTAGTTTTAACCAACAAACAAGTCATCGAAGACGATAGATTTTAACAATAATGTCCTAAATATTTTCAGGGAAGAAGTTTTGCAGACCAAAATAAACAAACCTGACAATGGCTATGCATATTCACCTATGATAAACAAAACCAGAACTTATTTGCCATAGTAGGTAACCGATTCCATTCGAAAACCATAAAATGCCTAAAATCTACTCATGTGATCATGACTAAGTAAAGGTGTGACCATGAACCAGAAATAAACATTGCATTATCCCTTACTGTTAGTGTCACAAGAAAAATGGTTATGCAGGTAATGTAGTTGTCTAATGCCATATGTTTTATAAATAGAACTAGAAAGAATAATACTAAATAAAATATTCACATGACCATTTTAAATGAATAGACTCATCCACATATAAATAGATGGAGCTTTAATAAAAATCAGAAGTATTTAATAGCTGTATTAAAGCAGAAGTGGTATACAATTTTCATTGCTTGTATTCCATCTCAATTTTGTTTCGTTATGAAGATGAACACAGATCTTTTTAATTATCTACCAAATCGGAAAGCCTATATACCTGGCATGGGTTTAATGGTAAGAAGAAAGCTTTTCTACATATATGTGTTATCAATATTGTGTAACCCACTTACATTTACTGAAAGGAATACATGACAACTCAGAACAAAGACGTCAGATCAGACTCCGTCAACTTAGACCAATTGAACAGACAAATCTGACCAGTTTGAAAGACTACTTGGCCACTTTTTACACCTTGGAAGAAGATCAAATCTTATTTTCTTATTTTCATTGCATCTGAAGATATTTTTGTTGTATTTACAGATGTTTCTGTTTGTGTGACACTTTAGTAAAATAATTTTAAATTGATTATTTACTAATAGTTACTCCTTAAAACTTTCTTAAAAAATACATTCCTGTACCAGCATCAGGAGGTATATATTTTTTGGTCATAAGCTAGAAAATCAAATATTTCATGACTTCAATTACTTCCAGGAGTTAGTTACCATTCACAATCTTTCAGTGACAAAAATAAACAATGATTGCAGGGTTTTGATCTATTCTGTTTCATATTCTGTTAAACTAAGTCAGCAGTTACAACAACTGCATAAACAGACGACAACTACTGTAATCAGATTTCTGACTTAGGACAGGTGCAAACATTTGCAGCGGGATTAAACGTTTTAATTGTACCAAACCTTCTCCCTTTTCTGAATTTTATTTTATTATAGGGACATTTTCATTCAGACTAACCTTGTAATTAATCACCAAGATGAAATACAGTGTTTTTTTTTCTTAAAAATTTTAATAACACTAAAAGGATTATTTAAGGTCTGGACCGTTGGATATGGGCTTATGTCCCAAAAGTTTGAGTTCATGATTTTCATGAGGAGATGGCATGCAATCTTTTCTTTATTAAATCATGTTAGTGTTAAAAAAATCGGGTTGCAACTCCTGTAGACTATTATATATATATAAGTTGACTATTAATAGTTTTTGAGGTTCTGTTTAGGCACTTCTTATTCATGCTCTCAAACATTTTACATTTTTGAATTGTACAAAATTTAGTCTTTAGCACACCTACAAAATTGGGGTTTTTCCAAAAAAATTGAAATCAAAATTTTACTGTTTCATCCTAGAAAACACTGCCTTGAACAATGTTGAGCTACATGTACATGTAGTCCATACATATTTTTTTGAGAATTTCACATTAACAAAAAGAAATTGGCTTTTCAATATTTTAGGATCAAAATAAGGGCTGGAGCCTAGATTTCTAGTTTCTTTTGAATTTAAATTGGTTTGAACTTTTTTAAGTTGACCAGAAAAAAAAAAAACTCATCAAATTTACTTTTTTATTATCAGTTTAGAATAATTCTTTATATTAAAAAAAATCCCAAGATATTATAAAATTAGGGGTAAGGTGTGTTTCTATCATGCAGACATGATTTTCTTCCTTTTTAAAGCAGAATTCTGCTTTTCGTCTTGTCCGATTCCGATTTTTTGTTGAACTTTCCATTTTTGTCGTATCCGTTTTTTTACACAAGTCCACTCTGTTTCCGGGTTTATATTTTACTTCAATCTGTAAAAAGTGATATGATTGGTTGAAACATTCTTATCTCCCAATGAAGGATCGGATTACAAAGCGGTCTTAAATATCACTTTGGCTTTCAACAGCATGGCTTCCAATGTTGTTGAACACGATTTTGACACAAAATTGTTAGATAAAGGGTTGAAAAATGTGTGGAACTGGGAATGGCTGGAGCGGAAATCACTATAAAGGTCTTTTCTAGATTGATAAACTTTTATATGACAAAGACAGATCATAGTTTCAGGCATTAAGAATTAAAGATATTTTGTTGGCCTATTTTTTACATTGTGTGACAATGAATTGAATAATGCAATTTTTATTTATAGTAACAGTAAGTTGTAACACTCACATGACTGGTATCTTGTGATTCAAAACTAACAAAAGAATTACAGCAAATATTTTTCTTGTTCCTTAGTTACAAGTCTACTGGAGTCTTGTGATAAATTGCAGATTAAACAATTTCAGTTCATTGTGAATAATAATCATATGATGTTAAGCTCCTAATATAGATTTATAGCAGTTGTTTTTCGTGTTCCAAAGTAATGAACACGTCAAAGAAAACTATTATGTTGTGTCAGTGCCAAATTAGCAATTTCTATTTATATTGGCAGTCATATGATTTGAAAAACCCTCATGTGACTCTGAAATGAAAGGTTCACATTGTTAGTCATTTTGTACATTGTTTCTGCATGAAAAAGCTGTTGGTTTAAGAACTTAAATGGCCAGCAATTAGTTTACCTAATTTTTTGAAAATACTGTGTTTTTTGTCGATGCCTTCAACTTTTGTCGAAAAAGCTAGACATAGTGATCCTACATTCCGTCTGCGTCGGCGGCGTCCACAAATATTCACTCTGTGGTTAAAGTTTTTGAAATTTTAATAACTTTCTTAAACTTAACTATCCTGGATTTCTACCAAACTTGGACAGAAGCTTGTTTATGATCATAAGATTATATTCAAAAGTAAATTTTGTATACAAAAATTCCATTTTTTCCGTATTTTACTGATAAATGGACTTACTTTTTCTGCCAGGAAACATTACATTCACTCTGTGGTTAAAGTTTTTAAAATAATAACAACTTTCTTAAACTATCCTGGATTTGTACCACACTTGGACAGAAGCTTGTTTATGATCAAAAGCTAGTATCTAGAAGGAAATTTTGATAAAATTTTGTTCCATTTTTTCCGTATTTTACTTATAAATGGACTTAGTTTTTCTTCCAGTCAACATTACATACAGTCTGCAGTTTAAGTTTTTAAAACATTTATTAGATTCATAAATTATCCTGGATTTTTACCAAACTTGGACAGAAGCTACTTACAATCAAAAGATAGTATAGAGAGGAATATTTTTTTTTCTTTTTTTTCCTCATTTTTGTTGAGCCTTCGATTAACAGCAAAAGTAGGCGAGACACTGGGTTCCGCGGAACCCTTACTAATTTTTTGGTTATGTACATGTAGTTTCAGTAAGTGAAATGCTATACTTGAAAACATGGGATTAATAACTGTTGAGGTAAATTCGTTTTCAGATATAGGTATGCTTGAAAGTTCCCTTAATACATGTGATGTGGGTTTGTTTATATTCATGGGTACCAATTTTCATCATGTCATGGATGAAGAAAAAAATGTATTTTACTATACAATTATAGGATTTTTAATTTTTTTTTTTTAATTCTGCAAGCAAATCTATAGGAAGGTTGAATTTTGTCAAAGTTGATGTTTGAACGCATACACACTTAATTTGTGGTATACCTATACCTATACTCACACAATTCCACACAAGTAATAATGAATCCACATTAATAGTTCTTTTTTAAAAGTTAAACAATTTTGAATCTCACTTACTATACTATAGATATACATATTTAGGGTTTACAAAAAGTAAAAATGCTGCAAGTCCAAATTGAACATGTTGAATGTGCTCATTGCTGCAAATATTTATTGTTAGGTCACAGTGATTGTATGCTTGAAAATACTGAGCTTTTCACATTAAAAAAAATAACTAATAGCTTTATGAAGTGTTTTCATTGATAATGAAAATAATCAAATTGTCCTTACAACTTTTAACATGTTCAACCAAGAAAATTAATGTTATATTTTTTTTAAATCTCACACTATGTTTTTCTTTTAAAATTTTGTTTGTCTTTATTTCCAGAAAGCTATCGACTTGGTGACAAAAGCAACAGAGGAAGATAAAAACAAGAATTATGAAGAAGCACTAAGATTGTATGAACATGCTGTAGAGTACTTTCTTCATGCTATGAAATGTAAGTAGTTTTTATATAGCAGCAGTGATCAAAGATGGCTCAAAGCTAGAATTATCACCAAATAGAGGAATACTACAGGTAGCCAAGATTGTTAAACACTCACATATTAGTGGTTTATATATTTAATTTTTCCATGCCCCGCCTACAATAGTAGAGTTGTATTATGTTTTCTGTTCTGTTAGTCCGTCCCACCTGTATTAGTTTTGGTTTACGGTAGTTTGTGGTCTCGTTAACTTTAAGCTTGGTACACATTTGCATTATGTAGATACTTCTTTATTAGTACCTATGATGGCCCATCAGGAATACTTGTTAGTAAAGAGCAATTTATATTTTGATTCGATTTTAAAAATACCTTGGAAAAAGCATTTAATCATTAATAGGAAAAAGCCTGACAGAAAGGACAAATGTTTAAACATCATGGTGTAATAAAAAGTTATAGGATGGAAAGTTTTGTAAAAGAAGATAACTTATCACAGAAATTTAATTAGTGCATTAAAGCAAGATCAGCTTAATGTATTGCAAAATAAGTCTAGTAAAATATGTATAAATAATTCCCAATCTGTTATTGAACAAAAAACAGGATACCATCTTTACCATTTATAACTTCTTGGTCTGACATGAGTTATCTCCCCTGACTGATATATTTTGAAGTTGAATTTAGAGCCTACTAAATGCAAAACATTTTTACATTTTATGTTTTCATATATTTTAAATTTCCTTTGTAGACCATTCTTCATTGTTTATGAAACATTCTGCACAAATATCAATTTGAGTCTTTGATCCTTTTTTTTAGATGAAGCACAGAGTGATAAAGCTAAAGACAGTATACGATCAAAATGTGCCCAGTACTTAGACAGAGCAGAAAAATTAAAACAATATCTTGCTAAAGGCAAGAAAAAGGCTGTTCCTGATGGTGGTAGTGGTACACCTTCAAGTAAGGGGTAGGTAGAAGCTACACAGAGTTATTGTCAATCTGAAAGAAAAAAAAAACAATTGTTTACTGGACATGCATGTTAAAACAGAAAACTAGGCTGTAACAAGAGCTTGAGGAATAGCTGTACATCTTCAACATCTTTAAATGAATAAATGTATTTTCAATTGTATGCAAATTTGTCTGCCATTACCTAGTCACACATGTTCCTGCAAAATATTGCATCACAAATAAAAAATTATATCCTGGAATGGAAAGTTCACATGCACTACTATTTTACAAAGGTCTAAAAAGAGGGTTCTGTGGCATATTTTCAACATTTATATTCCTGGAACTTCTTCATGTTCTAAGAGTTTAAATTTATCTGCTTATACTAAAATTCAATACTACCCCTCCTTTTATTTTGAGACTTCCTGAGAATTCAATTTGAATGCTATCCACTATACTTATACAGGTAAAATTCCAAAGTTGTGTCCCCTATGAGATGAAACATGGAGATCATATCTGGGAACCAGTAGGTAAACAAAAATAAAAACCTATGAATATTAAGTATCTCCCAAAAAGAGATGTGGTTTGTGAATCAACTGTATTTACAAAGTGCAACCTGAAACTTTATTTGAACTTTTGATTATTAATTTTATACAACTATTACAAGATATTTATTGTATTCTGCAACAGAAAGAAAAATGGAGAAAAAAAGAATGACAGTGACTCTGATTCAGAAGAGGATCCTGAGAAGAAAAAGTTCAATGATCAAATTTCAGGTGAGTAGTGCTTTGAATAAGAAGAGTTTGGTCTCCAGAAAAAGACAGTCAAATAATCAGGTTCTTAGGTGACTGGTCTAAATTTCAGTTTCTTAGTCTCCAGTTATTGATAACTAATCACTGGAACAATAAAAAGGACTTTATACAAGATTGCTAGATTTGGAATGAAAAAATAATATCAGTAAGTATTTAATTCAGTTAAAAAAAAAAGTTGGTTCCCCAAAATAAAAATAAAAAAAAAACATCTAGAAAAATCAAAAAAAGTTATCACTTCTTCAGACTGGGAGACAAAAGGCATTTACAGTAGGCATTTCAAGGAAGAAAATTAATAGAAATATTCATTTTTTTCAAGTTTTGAGAAATTACTTGTCGACTCTTTGATAAGAAAGGTGAAAGATACATTTGTGTTTTGTATGAAACTTAGGAAGCCTTTCACCAGATTTAACAGAATGCGTATTATGTTTCATTTAAATTGAAGCTGGATACCTCAATGGATCAAGATTATGTTCTTAATGTCAGATTTTCGTTACTTAAGTCACTAAAACATCAAGTAAAACATTAACACTTAATGAAATGAACTGAAAAACATAAACATGTTCATAAAGATTGAAAAAAGCATTTAAATGTATTTGCAGGAGCTATTGTAATGGAGAGACCAAATGTCAAATGGGATGATGTTGCCGGATTATTTCAGGCCAAAGAAGCATTAAAAGAAGCTGTGATTTTACCTGTAAAGTTTCCTCACTTATTCACAGGTATAATTTTACTGTCATGAATATAGGGACTTTCAAATGAACTTTATCTACAGATCTTACTAATCTATATACCACATGAGCAGTAGACAGCAGCAAGTTCTGTAAATACTAAGGCTATGTCTTATAGGAAATTCTACATAGTTTTAAGAGAAAAATAAGTTTACTTTACTTGATTCTATTCAATTCAGTTGAAAGTTTTTATTTAAAGTCTATATTTAGTTAACATGCTGCACATCACAAGCTCAAGTGAGCTTTTCAAAATTTAAATTGATTACCTATCAATATCAATTCACACATATATACACGGGTCATGCAAACAACAGATTTTTAACATAAAATGTATGCTGATGATAAATATCTCCGACTCATAAACTTTTAGGTGGTGTGAATTCCTTAGTATATAAACTTTGATAAGCTGTTTTTAAGCAATTTAAAAAGATACTGAATGAACTATGCTAAAGATGGATAAGAAAATGTAAATCCAGTGGACAAAACATCAATGATACCTATCAAAACAATAAGCAAGGTATATGGTTCAACAAAAACAATGAGCAAGGTATATGGTTCAACAAAAACAATGAGCAAGGTATATGGTTCAACAAAAACAATGAGCAAGGTATATGGTTCAACAAAAACAATGAGCAAGGTATATGGTTCAACAAAAACAATGAGCAAGGTATATGGTTCAACAAAAACAATGAGCAAGGTATATGGTTCAACAAAAACAATGAGCAAGGTATATGGTTCAACAAAAACAATGAGCAAGGTATATGGTTCAACAAAAACAGATATATTTAAAAGCTTTTGGCAGTGGATATACCAATCAAAATTATCTATGCTTCTATATTTTACAGCAAGATTTAGAGATTTATTTGTACAGAAATATTTTTGTTTTATAGGAAAACGACGGCCATGGCAAGGAATTCTACTGTATGGTGTATGTATTTTTTTAAACAAAAATTTATTTTTTGAGACGAGGTTTTAGGCAAAATAAGTTTGATTTTTTTTGTCAGACTACATATTTGTAACCCCTCAAAAGAATATATTTGAATACAATGTATTGTCATTGTGTATATTGTAACTAATTTGATTGGTTCAGAAAGAGTCACATGATAAACTATATTTTCGAAGGAAGACTGAATACAGCAGATAGAAAAATGCACAGTTTTTTTTTAAATATTTAGAAATAGAAATCTAAAAGCCTTAATACTTTGTGACACAATCGTATCAACCAATCAAATGAATTTCTGCTTGATTTCAGGCTTAATAACAATAATAATATAACAATTGTAGCCTTTGTATGAAGTAGATATGAGAATATATGGACCTTAAGAAGTATATCAACCTCAGACTTTGTCCTCAGTCAGTGTTATCCTTTCAGGTCGATATATCCTTGTATCAACTCATAAAAAGGCTATAATTGTATAATATAACTTGATATCCCTGTTTTTATACGACCGCAAAAAAATTTGCGGTCGTATATTGGTATCACGTCGTCGTCAAAGACATTTGGTTTCCAGACAATAACTTTAGTATAAGTAAATAGAAATCTATGAAATTTAAACACAAGGTTTATAACCACAAAAGGAAGGTTGGGATTGATTTTGGGGGTTATGGTCCCAACAGTTTAGGAATGAGGGGCCAAAAAGGGGCCAAAATAAGCATTTTTCTAGTTTCCAGACAATTACTTGTGGAAGAGTGTATGGATCTCTCTGAAATTATGCCAAAAGTTTCCATACCACAAAGGGATGGTTAGGATTGGCTTTGGGGTGTTATGGCTCAAACCGTTTAGAATTAGGGGCAAAAAAGTGAGAAAAACAAGGGTGTCCTGGTTAATGGACAATTACTTAAGTACAATGTTGTGTTTGAATTACCTCCCGTACACTGCTTTTAAATTATATATAAAGAAATGTTGTATTGTCTTGAGGTGATTAGCTGTCAATTTATTTTTAGAAGTTACTATTTTAATAATTTTAAAAATGCTGATTAAGGTATATTACCGTAGAAAGGCTTGTATAGTCCGCGGTTTTATTCTCCAAAATTGGACCTTCCAGACGGGGTGCTGACTATAGAGTACAATAAGCAAGAAATAAGAGAAAAATTTCAATTTTGCGGGCGAGGTGGTTTGTTTACGTTCCGCCATCTTTGTTATTTATATTGTAGAGGGCGCTCTTATCATTTTTCAAACTAATAATTTTAACTCATCCATATTAATAAGTTATTTCTATTCAATATCAAATTAATACTGATAAATATAAAAACTAAACCTTTCATTACAAATTTCTCGTTTCTTTTCAATGCATTGGTTGAAATAAACTGGTATCTGCTTGATTGAAACGATACAAACATAGTGAAAAAGACAACCGTAAACCAGCTTAGAATTTTTAAACTACAAAACGTAATCGGTCATTGTTCGTTCCGTTTTGGTGTTTCATACTGACTAATATGGTTTGTATTAGCTTAAGACCCTTCAAACATTAATGTGGTAGATATATTAAAGACTGTTTTACAAAAGGATGGAACTGTTTTACTTTCAAAGTCGTATTATAGTGATATCTGTTATGTACGGATTTCGACTCTCACCGGTTAATTTCTTCTTTTACACGTGCTTTTTAAACTTCCTGTTTAAACATACACAAGGTTCTAAATTGTTTTTTAAGTGAATTAAACTTATTTTAACAATCATGAAGCGTTCTAGAATCATTTACAAGCAGTTTCAGCTTCTGTTTGATGATGGAAAACAGGGTTTTCCAAGAAAATACCGCAAACGACCGCACGGGATTTGAAATTACCGGAGTTTCATTAGACCTTTTCTAACAGTTACAAAAAGTTTTTTTACCTAAAATTTCGTGGGGAGAAGGGGGTGCGGACTATGTACCACTGCGAACTATACAAGCCTTTCTACGGTAATTTTTTTTTTGGGGGGGGGGTCAATTCGCAACAGCATAGCGTATTGAACAAAAGCAAAAAATTGAATATAAATTCAAATCATATAAACAATTCTAAGTTCTTTGACTACAGTTATTCTGTGTCAGAAACCTATTATGTGTCAAATATTGAATTACAATCCAAATTCAGACGTGTATCAAGCGCGAATATTGTGTCCATTTTTGCCCCAACTGTTCAGGGTTGGACCTCTATGGTTGTATCCAGCTGTGCTTGGCAAAGCAATTTATTTCTGAATGTATGTCAGTTAAACTATTTATTAAATAAATGCATTGCTAATGAAATAAAAAGAGAGATAAAGTATAAAAACATTGAAAAGTCCAGGTTTGGTTTACATTGAGTAACTGTTCAAGTCGTTAGAGGTATTATTATAATTATATATAACTTTCAGAATATTTTTACATTTTTTCTTTGCTTTTTAGCTCACCGGGGCCCTTCGGCCCCATGTGAGCTTATGCCATCACTTGGCGTCCGTCGTCGTCTGTCGTCATAAACTATTTCAAAAATCTTCTCCTCTGAAACTACAGGGCCAAATACCTTCAAACTTTAACTAAATGTTCCTTAGGGTATCTAGTTTATAAATTGTATCCGAAGTTTTGATCCATCGACAAACATGGCCGCCATGGCTAAAAATAGAACATAGGGGTCAAATGCAGTTTTTGGCTTATATCTCAAAAACTAAAGCTTTAAGAGCAAATCTGACATAGGGTAAAATTGTTCAATTGGTCAAGATCTATCAGCTCTAATATTTTCAGACGAATTGAACAACCCATTGTTGGGTTGCTGCAACCAAATTGGTAGTTTTAACAAAATTTTGCAGTTTTTTGTTATTATTTTGAATATTATTATAGATATATATAAACTGTAAGCAGCAATAATGTTCAGCAAAGTAAGATCTACAAATAAGTTCATATGACCATAATTGTCAATTGACCCCTTAAGAAGTTATTGCCCTTTAAAGACAATTTTACACAATTTGTTCATCAAGTTTGCTAACATTTAAAAATCATCTCCTCTGAAACTACTGGGCCAATTACCTTCAAACTTTAACTAAATGTTCCTTATGGTATCTTGTTTATAAATTGTATCTGAAGTTTGTATCCATCGACAAACATGGCCGCCATGGCTAAAAATAGAACATAAGGGTCAAATGCAGTTTTTGGCTTATATCTCAAAAACTAAATCTTTTAGAGCAAATGTGACATGGCGTAAAATTGTTTAATTGTTCAAGATCTATCAGCCCTGAAATTATCAGACGAATCGAACAACCCATTATTGGGTCGCTGCCACTGAATTGGTAGTTTTTACAAAATTTTGCAGTTTTTTGTTATTATTTTGAATATTACTATAGATATATATAAACTGTAAGCAGCAATAATGTTCAGCAAAGTAAGATCTGCAAAAAAGTAAATATGACCAAAATTGTCAATTGACCCTTAAGGAGTTATTGCCCTTTAAAGACAATTTTACACCATTTGTTCATCAAGTTTGCTAACATTTAAAAATCTTCTCTGAAATACAGGTGAGCGATTCAGGCTCTTGAGAGCCTCTTGTTTAGCTCACCGTTCAGTGATATTGTTTGCCTCAAATTACAGCCGAAATTCAGCTTTTTCCCCATGAGAAAATTCCCAATTACTAAAAAAAATGGCTTAAAATTCCTCCCAAAAAGTTTTACATTTTCCCCAAACAGTGATGGCATTGGTAGTAATGTTTGTAAATATTGTATTCATGTTATTATTTTGATATTAGAAAGCACTTTTGCGATCCGGTTTTCTGATCAGAATCATCATGGTGTTTGTAACACGTGGTTTTCAATGCATTAAGTACCATCATTGCTTCTATTTCTTTCCCATCTTCGAAAAGTACCTTTCAGGTTGAAAATGCCTGACAACCAAAATATACTTGAAAAAACAGTGCAAAAAAAAGACTGCAAAGGTCAGAAAAAAATCGGAGATGTGTTTACATGTAGAATAAAATATACAAATTTCCCAAATTCAATAAAAAAATATGCATTTTTCCCAATAAAAAAACGGTAGAGGTAGTTTTAAAAAAAGCCAACAATATCACTGCCGTTCCGAAGGAACTGTGAGCTTTTGCCATCACTTGGCATACGTCGTCGTCCGTCTGTTGTAAACTTTTTCAAACATCTTCTCCTCTGAAACTACTGAACCAATTCCAACCAAACTTAAGCTGAATGATGCTTAGGGTATCTAGAATAAAGTTTGTGTTTTATTTACTGTTTCATCAAATAACATGGCCGCCATGGCTAAAAATAGAACATAGGGGTAAAATGCAGTTTTTGGCTTATATCTCAAAAACCAAAGCATTTAGAGCAAATCTGACATGGGGGTTAAAGTGTCCATTAGGTCATGTTCTATCAGCCCTGAAATTTTCAGTAGAATCTGATAACCCATTGTTGGGTTGCTGCCACTAAATTGGTAATTTTAAGGAAATTTTGCAGTTTTTATACGACCGCAAAAAAATTTTTGTGGTCGTATATTGGTATGACGTTGGCGTCGTCGTCGTCTGGCATCGTCCGGCGTCGTCCGAAGACACATTGGTTTTTGCACTCTAACTTTAGTTTAAGTGAATGGATCTCTATGAAATTTTACCACAAGGTTCAATACCACAAAAGGAAGGTTGGGATTGATTATGGGGGTTATGGTACCAACAGTAAAGGAATTAGGGGCCAAAAAGGGGCCAAAAATAAGCATTTTTGTAACTTCCAGACATAACTTGTGTGTTAGTGTATGGATCTCTCTGACATTGTACCACAAGGTTCCATATCACAAAAGGAATGCTGGGATTGATTTTGGGGGTAATTGCCTCAAAATATTAGGAATTAGGGGCAAAAAAAGGGGCAAAAAAAACAAGCATTTTTCTAGTTTCATGACAATAACTTGTGTGTAAGTGCATGGATCTTTCTGAAATTGTACTACAAGGTTCCATATCACAAAGGAAAAGCTGGAATTGAGTTTGGGGGTAATTGCTGAAACGTTTAGGAATTGGGGGCCAAAAAGGGGCCAAAAATAAGCATTTTTCTAGTTTCCAGACAATAACTTGTGTTCAAGTGTATGGATCTCTCTGAAATTGTACTGCAAGGTACCATACCACAAAGGGAAGGCTGGGATTGAGTTTGGGGGTGATGAATCATAAGGGGGTTCAAACAATTTGGGGGGGGATTTTTTTTTTTTTTCCTTTTTTTTCTTTTTTTCCTTTTTTTTTTCTTTTCAAATTTTCCATTTTAAGTTGGTTATTTCTGATTTATATTTAAAAGCAAATAATAATGATATGGTAGGAGATACACACCAAACAGGATGTGTAAATTATTATATAATAAGTAATGTGCAATAGCAAGAAATTTTCAATTGCACAGTATTGCACAATAGCAAGAAATCTTCAATTGCACAGTATTGCGCAATAGCAAGAAATCTTCAATTGCACAGTATTGCGCAATAGCAAGAAATATCCAATAGCACAATATTGCGCAATAGCAAAAAATTGTCAATTGTACAGTATTGCACAATAGCAAGAAATATTTAATTGCACAGTATTGTGCAAAAGAAGATACTTCGTATAAATTGCTTATTTCTTGACCAATTTCAATGGGGTTTTATTCTTGAATTCTTGGGGTTCTTTAATATGCTGAATCTAACCGTGTATTTAGTTTTTGGATTTTGGGCCCCGTTTTTAAATTGGTCCACATTGAGGTCCAAAGGGTCCAAAATTAAACTTTGTTTGATTTCATCAAAAATTGAATTATTGGGGTTCTTTGATATGCCGAATCTAACCGTGTATTTAGATTCTTAATTTTTGGTTCCGTTTTCAAATTGGTCTACATTAAGGTACAAAGGGTCCAAAATTAAACTTAGTTTGATTTTAACAAAAATTGAATTCTTAGGGTTCTTTGATATGCTGAATCTAAACATGTATTTAGATTTTTGATTATGGGCCCAGTTTTCAAGTTGGTCCAAATCGGGGTCCAAAATTAAACTTTGTTTGATTTCAACAAAAATTGAATATATGGGGTTCTTTGATATGCTGAATCTAACCATGTATTTAGATTTTTGATTTTTGGGCCCTGTTATCAACTTTGTCCACATTGAGGTCAAAAGGGTCCAAAACTAAACTTTGTTTGATTTCATCAAAAATTGAATTCTTGGGGTTCTTTGATATGCTGGATCTAACCATGTATTTAGATTTTGGATATTGGACCATAAAAGGTGAATGTCCAATTTAAAATTTTTAAGTTCTTAGACCACATTCATTCTGTGTCAGAAACCTATGCTGTGTCAAATATTTAATCACAATCCAAATGCAAAGCTGTATCAAGCTTGAATGTTGTGTCCATACTTGCCCCAACTGTTCAGGGTTCGACCTCTGCGGTCGTATCAAGCTGCGCCCTGCGGAGCATTTTATTGGTTATTATCTTGAATATTATTAATGATAAAGATAAACTGTTAACAGCAAAAATGTTCAACAAAGTAAGATCTACAAATAAGTTCATATGTCCAAAATTGTCAATTGTCCCCTTAAGGAGTTATTGCCCTTTAAAATCAATTTTTCACAATTTGTTCATTTAGTTTGCTTACTTTAAAAATTCTTCTCCTTTGAAACTGCTGAATCAATTTCAGCCAAACTTTGGCTGAATGAGTTTCAGAGTATCTAGTATAAATTTTGTATTTTATTTTCTTGTATGTCAAGAAACATAGCCAGTATGGCTAAAATGAAACATAGGGGTAAAATGCATTTCTTTGATTTTGAAGAAAATAGGACAGATACAAAGAGCATTTCAATGGAAGTTTTTAAGTCATTCATTAATATATATTGAAAAGCAAAAATAATCATTAATGAAAGATTTAAGCCAAAAATTACAGGTGAGCGATTCAGGCTCTTGAGAGCCTCTTGTTTCATCTTTTTAGTAATATTTACGTACAGGAAACATTTTTTCTGAAGCTATATATATTTAAATTGCTGCTTTTTATGCTGTAATTAATAAATGCATTTCCTTTGTTTTTAGCCTCCAGGAACAGGGAAATCTTATCTTGCCAAAGCTGTGGCAACAGAGGCTGATAACTCTACCTTCTTTTCTGTGTCATCAGCTGATTTAGTATCTAAATGGCTTGGAGAAAGTGAAAAGTAAGTGTAGACCAGATATATACTTTGCCGAGGTTTACAATTGACCTGTATAGAAACAAAATATTTTAACCACAATAAGTTTATAAAACTGAATGAAGTCTGAATAGCAAATGGCAAATGCACTTATCTTCAATGTATTAAAAAATCAGTAGGCAAATATAGAGTCAACTCTGAAAATATTATTAGATGGGTTGAATAATGAAGGAGTATCCTGACTGTATGTGGACATTCTACTGAACATAAAACATCCAAAGTGTATAACAAGTGATTTTTTTTTCCATTCAAAGGGTTAACTTAAGCACCGACCAAAAGGCCTTATTCTTCTGGCATTGAAAGTCATGAAAAATAAATTGCTCACTAAATTTGTTTACAGTAACTATCTTTATGTTACCAGATAGTACTTGTGAAAGTAGATATTGAAAAATCAGGTTCTATTAGAACTTCTATTGCAGAAAATATATATATCTATAGAGAGAGAGAAAGAGGGAGAACATATGCCGGAGAGTTGTTGCAAGTAAAAAGATGATAGGAAAAACATAAATTTCAGACTACGATTTATATGACAAGTAAATGTCATTCTTTTAATATGAAAAAAAAGATGAACTGGACATACAGACAATCTCTACTCCACTAAACATCATGTACTGTTTTACAAACCTGGATTAACTTCACAATGAAATGAATCACCTATATAAAGCTATATATTTTATATAGCCTGATTTCCTGAGTAGTCTTAGGCATTGGGAAAAAGTGTAAGCATGTTACAGTTGTCTTAAAAACTGGATTTTGATTTATTTTGTGAGAATCATTAGAATTTGTTAGTTCAAAAATTGTTGGGATGAATTCAGTATATATAAACATAATACATCTTTACACACACATGAACTTTTGCGCTATTCTGTAGCCTTCTTTATTCTTTGAAAATCATTGAAAACATTTAATCTATTTCAGATTAGTACGAACTTTATTTGCTACAGCAAGAGAAAACAAACCAAGTATAATCTTTATAGATGAAGTGGATGCATTGTGTGGATCTCGTAGTGAAAATGAATCTGAGTCAGCCAGAAGAATAAAGACTGAATTCCTAGTCCAGATGCAGGGGGTTGGGGTAGATAATAAAAATGTCCTTGTATTAGGAGCTACAAATATACCATGGGTGTTAGACTCTGCTATTAGAAGAAGGTATGTCAATAAAAAACCTTTTGAAGTTTGATGATGTTATTTTTGTTTTGTTCTCTACAATGGCTTTATGAGATTTTAATCATTAAGTGGGAATTGTAGATTTTAAAGTTTTAAGTAATTATTGCAGGAATTTTTGAACTGAAATATGAATTTCTGGAATTCTATGTGAATGATATTGCATGACTTTATATAAGGAATATTTTGTGTATGCAAATTATCTTTACAAAAACTATATCATAGACATGAAGCTCTTGATTCACCCCTTTTAATATCTTTTGAGCAAGAAAAAAAGTCAAAAATCATTAAAACTCTTTAAAAAGTAGTTTTTGGCCAATGAGCATGTATATGAATCATTTTATCCTTTCTTGAACATTGGCTTACCACAGCGTAGACATAAAAAAGTAGTCAAGTTCAATTAAGAAATATTTATGTCAAACACCAGCAACCAATTATACCCAAATGCAGTCAAGTTTAGAGTTTGACAATTCATTTAGGACAAAGTGTTTGAATTGAACCAATGAAAATAGATCACCTGATTTCTTTGTCGGATAACATAAACACAATGAATGTATTGATTTTAATTTTACTAATAAACTCATGTGCATGCACATTACTAAAAAACTATTAACTGCTATTGCTCACTGTTACAATGAAATAAAAGGTCATGGTAACATCAAATCAAATCAATAATTAGTTCATCAGATCCCCCCTTGCTACTTAAATTAACTATGTTAACATGTTTTCTAGATTTGAGAAGAGAATCCATATCCCACTACCAGAGGCCCCTGCTAGATCAGAAATGTTCAAATTACATTTAGGTAATACACCACACTCCATGCAAGAGGATGACTTCAGGGAGTTAGGAAAAAGGACTGATGGGTAGGTTTATATTATGTATGAAAAAATAATATTTTATGGAAATTTTAAAAAACAAAACAAAAAAAACTTCAAATATAATACACCTAGTTAAGAGCATCGATTCTTTTTCATATAACTTTGATGACAGTTCATTTCGTTAGAGTGTAAGGTCATAATATTGTTGGTGTTGTTTAAAAAGCAAATGCCTACATACACATGTGGAAGTAATAAATTTTATATCTAGATTTGAAATTTATGACACTGATAAAATAATGCATTATGTGTGATTTATTTAGGTCTGGAAAGGCTAAGTGTATTATTTGAATATTGAATTATATTTTCATGTTATATTTCTCACACAAAATAAATATGAGTTTACTGGTAAATAGTTTACTTGCATATCAAGTCCTTGTTTCTTTGTTTGCAGATTTTCAGGAGCTGATGTATCAATTGTTGTGAGAGATGCTTTGATGCAACCAGTTAGAAAAGTGCAAAATGCAACACATTTCCGAAGGGTAAGAGTCATAAATGGACTTGATACATATTAATGTTTGACTTTACAAAAAAAAGCCAGCATAAAAATATAAGTTTTAAGCACCATATCTTTTATTTTAATATAAGATTTGGGAAATGACTTGAAAATTAATGAGCATCTTGCAAATGATTTTTTAACACCTTTAGCTTTCCTTAGGTTCCTTCAGAGATTCAAACAGATTTTGCACATTTCTTACAGTGTCCAATTTTAAGGGAGTTAAAAGGGGAATTTCTACATACAGTCTATTATTGTGTTTTTATGTTAATTTTCCCCATTTTCAGTGTCAAGTTAGTCAGACATATAAGCTGCACTCTGCATACCTTTTGAATTTCTAATTAATAGGTTAAGGAAATGTTCATTTTGTTGCAGATCTTGATGGTCTCTATTAAATTTGTTTTAACAAATTATTCATTATCCAAAACTCCATCTTAGGTCAAGTGTTATGAATGACAGCATGTCAACAGCTTATAACATTTCATCCAAAACTATGTTTACTGTTTAAAATATAATTGAAAAAGTCCTTTTTTGAATTTTGTGATTCCTAGAAACATAACTAAATTAAAACGGTCTTGTGTTTATTTTACCTGTAGGTACGAGGCCCATGTAGGAAGGATCCAGATAATATAGTAGATGACCTTTTGACCCCATGTTCCCCAGGAGCTCCAGGAGCCATGGAAATGAGTTGGATGGATGTACCTGGAGAAAAATTATTAGAACCTATTGTGTCTATGGTAAGTAAATAGCTTTAGTTACCTTGAGTAGTGTTGGTAGGTTAAATGAAAACTAAATTGCTTTTGCTGTCTTTGTTGAAATGGTCATTTGAAACTTGTATTTTAAATTTGCATTGTACATTGGATTTAGAAGATACAAATTTTTGAGTTACTTTTGTCGTTCCTGTTGCAAACAACAGGGCAATACAGATGTTTCCAAAATTAAATGTGAGACATTCTATCGTTGTTTGGATTATTAGATTAATAGTTGTGTTCTGTTTTTTTCAGTATCAATAGGAAATGACAGATTATTTTTTATAAGACCGCAAAATTTTTTGTGGTCGTATGTTGGTATGACGTTGGCGTCATTGTTGTCGTCGTCCGAAGACGCATTGGTTTTCACACAATAACCTTAGTTTAAGTGAATGGATCTCTATGAAATTTTACCATAAGGTTCAATACCACAAAAGGAAGGTTGGGATTGATTTTGTGGGTTATGCTACCAACAGTTAAGGAATTAGGGGCCAAAAATAAGCATTTTTCTAGTTTCCACACAATAACTTGTGGAACGGTGTATGGATCTCTCTGAAGTTATACCACAAGTTTCTATACCACAAAGGGATGGTTAGGATTTGCTTCGTGGGGGGTTATGGCTCTAACCGTTAAGGAATTAGGGGCAAAAAAGGTACATCATTTGAATTACCTCCCTTTCACTGATTTTAGATTATGTATAAAGTAATGGTTAATGAACAATTAAGACAATTTAAAAGCAGCGTAAGGACTTAGTTAAGAAATGCATAAAAGTTTATAGTTACAGGTAAAGTGGACTATTAAAAAAGTGTCAGGCTGTACATATTGTGACATTCATCTTTCTTGTGTTTCAGAATGACATGTTGGCATCCCTAGCGAACAGTAAACCTACAGTTAATGACACTGATTTGAAGAAACTGGAAGAATTCACACATGATTTTGGTTCAGAAGGATAGTTGTTTGTGATAGTTGTTAAATTATTGACTTTTATTTGACAAATCTGTAATATCTTATCATACACCATTATTTATCAAGTATTATTTACTGTAAAAATTGTAAAAAAACAAACACTGCTGTTCAGTCTAGTACAAAGTTACTGAATACAATAACATGGATAAGAAATACAAGCCAGGTAACCTGCCATGGGATATCGACATTTAAAAAAAATTCTGTTAATGTGAATATTTTAGTTCATGCAGTTTTCTCAATTTAAAATTGTTTCATATACTAGACCATTTTTCTTGACTTTTTCCTTTTAACACATATTCAAAAGATTTTAATCTCCAACTTTAGAAAGTTGATTATTTGTTGAAAATTTATCTGTTTTTAATAAAAACATGAGTAGCAATCATCATGCTTTTTTCAATTTAAAGGCCAATTGCAAGAAACAATACCATTTAAAAAAAAGGCTCAATGTTATTGCTGTTTAAAGTGAGACCATTTATCAAAGTGCTATTTACACACTAGTTTGTTATAGTACTTTAATAAATAAAAAAAATGTATGTTTAAATTATATTTATTTGTATGTGAGCTATGAGTTAACCTATATTTAAAAACACTTGGGCAATTGATATTTTTATGTAATAGCATTTGTAAAAACTGTGTCTGTTTTCATTCTGTTGAGGTTCAATAGGTCTTGAAAAATTCTACATTTGTTGGAATGTGATTGTGATTATTTTTGAATCAGATGTTTAGATTTTCAAGAAATTAAAATGCTTAAGGTGGGACTTTGTGTGAACTTTTCATATTATTAAGCAACAAAGATTGTTTGTATCTTAAAATAAGCTGAAGTTCGCAAGTATGAATTAACCAATATATTGTAATGGTATTGTGTTTCAAATAATTTAACCTATCAAAGCCTTCTTCAACATCCTCAAATGTTGCTTGTCAAATGCATGCAGTGTGTCAGGTCTTTAATGACATTATGCATTTTCTGGAAGTAAAAATTCTACACCTAGTCAATGTTTTTAAGTTCCTTAAGCATTGGTTTCTCATGTGGATTGATTCCATGAATTTGTCACTTTCAAACAATAAAGGTTAGGTTAAACCATGGATTATTTACTGCCCATGTTCTTATGTATACTTTTAACATTTTCTTTTCTTTTCCTGTCATTTTTCTTTCTTTTCTTTATCTCTGTATTGTATATACAACAATATTGTTTGGAAAGTTATTTGTTTCATAATTTGTGTCCTCAGCAATTTTATGTACAATCATTTTTTCATAAATTTATGAAATGTAGTAAGGAATATTTACGTATCCTTAAAATTCATTCAGTAATTTGATTACACTCATTGATTGGTTGTTTAATAGAACAAGAATTTTAATTCTCTGTCATAATTTTCAGTTCAGGATCAACTTGATTTAAAAAATCCATTTTAAGTGTCCTTAAAGATGATTACCATTAAAAGGGATCTCCAAGAGGCAAAGTCAGAATATAAGAAACACCAACAAAACTGAACGACAAAATCTAAAGATATTTTTTCAGAAATAAACATGAAAGACAGCACTTAAGGGATTAATGTTTAGTTATCATGGCATATAGATATATGCAGAAGCATTTTGATTATTCATTGATTAATAAATGGTTCTTAGCATCCTTTATCATACAAAGGATGTATTGGGAATATCACAGTACAATAATAATATAATATTTAGACAGAAATTAAATGGGACGGTAGGTTGAAACAGGACAATGTGTAAGATTGTGATATTTTGACTGGGCATGTAAATATCATTTATATATCTCCCATTTACTGAACTTGTTTTTCTAATCTTTGTAGACAGTTCAGATTATACTGTTGTTAATAAATTGATTCTGAATTTTTTTAAGTTATTTTATTATACATGGCAATGAAAAAAAAGGATGATTATATCATGTCCAGCAGGATTCAAACACTTTTTATGCCCCCGCCGTAGCAGAGGGGGCATTAAGTTTTACCCTTGTCCATCTGTACGTCCGTATAGTTGGTTTCCGTTCTCTAACTTTAGTTTGCCTCAACCAAATGCTATGAAACTTATACACAATGCTTATTACCACAAAACACAGATCAAGTTTGAATTTTGTTGGCATCACTTTAACCATTCTAGAGTTATGCCCCTTTACAAACAGAAAAATTGCTGAATATTTCCTTTCCATTCTCTAACTTAAGTTTGCCTCAACCAAATTTTATGAAACTTATACACAATACTTATTACTACAAAACTCAGATCAAGTACAAATTTTGGTAGCGTCACTTTTACTGTTCTTCAGTTATGTCCCTTTATAACTTAATATGATATGCAAGTGGGGGCATCATCTGTGTCCCATTGACACATTCCTCATTTATGTTTAAAAGTCTCCTGAATATTCTTTGATTCCAACAGACAATATAGGAAAAGAAAAAAATGGTTAGCAGTGAAGCAGCCGTAATAATAACAATGAAGAAATTTTTGTTGTATTTTCCTAGGAAACTACAAATAGTAGCTTCCTGAATTTTCTTTTCAGGTTTGATCATGTGACACAGTTTCAGATTCATCTCATATCAACTTTCTGTTTACCAAATATTGATATATTTTTCGAACACATGCCGGCAATGTATGAAATTTTCGTCGTATTTTTCTACAGAACTAAAAATAAGAGCTATATGAAGTTTGCCTTGAGGCTTCATGTGACCCTTCTTTACCTGGTAATACGTTTTCAGATTTTTTTCAACTTACTGTTCACCACGAATACTAAAAGTGAATGTATCTCATTAGTGAGCAATATCTTACAGTCCTTCTTGTTTTGACTAGCTATGTCCTTCGATTGCAAATTTGACAAAAAAAATAAAATGCAATTTTTAATCAAAATGCATTCAACAACAAAAAGTTAAATCAAAGACCTTTTTTAGTTCTAAGGAAATATTTAAAATTATAAAACAGTATTTTAAGTATATAATATAGACTCTTTAATATTCAAACTTGTGAATTCTGATCCTGTGAGTGAAAAAAATATTGGGGAAATTAGTCCTATTCCTTTGGTCTATTTATATTGATAAAATTTGATAAAAAATATTCTATTTGTGTTAATGAGAATAAAGAACAGGGAAATGAATTAGAGGTCAATATTTGGTTCTTAATTTAAAATGTCTGCTAACAGTTTTAGGAGTACACTATGAATTGCTAAAGGTTGCACTTTGTAAATACAGCTGTTTCTCAAACCACGCCTCTTTTGGGGAGATATATAATATTCATAGATATGTTAATTTGTTAATGTACTGGTTCCCATTTATGATCTCTGTGTTTCATCTCATAGAGACATCACTTGGGAATGTAACCAGTATAGAAAAACATGGTAGCGCCTAAATTTTAATTCTTAGGAGGTCCAAATATGAAGGTAAGGGTAGTATAGAATTTTAGTATAAGTTTCAACTCTTAGAAGTTCAGGGCATATAAATGTTGAAAATATGCCGCACAGCCCTATATTTTGACCTTTGAATAAAATAGTAGTGCATATAAACTTTCCGTTCTTGGATATTATTTTTCACGAAACTTCATAGTAAAAGTGTCACAGTGTTAGCCGCAAAGGGAGTTCCTATGGGAAATTGCATTGTCTATATTTACAGAATTGCAACCTAAAATCACGCATTGTTTAGTTTACCGCAAACAGGCAATCTATTGATCTTAAATTGATCGAATTCTAACAAGAACCTCAAGTCATATAAGGAAGTGAGTGGGATGGAAAAATATCTTGGAATAAAGATAAAAATATTTTTCTGCCATTACTTGTAATGTTAAGCTTAGTCAGGCCTTTAGTTTTCTGAGGATTTGGCTAATCTTATATGAAAGTTTATGCCAAAATCATAATCTCAAACTTTAAACATGCATTTTGGTTTATTTTTATTTGCTCTTCAAAGTTTGTATTAGTGTTTTGGTGTTCAAATATTTTGGCCTCGAGCATCACTGAAGAGACATTTATTGTCAAAATGTGCATCTGGTGCAATAAAATGAGTACCGTTTATAGTATTACTACCACTGGGTAGATACCTCTGCTGGTGGACTGTTAGTCCCCAAGGGTATCACCAGCCCAGTAGCCATTAATTGTCGAAATGTGAATCGGGTCTTATTGTGTTATCCAAAGGGAAATGAGGACCTAAATACTCCTGGTAAATTGTCTTGGCTTCAGTAAAAACCAAATGTGTATAGAATTATTCATGGGATCTCTAATATGTGGATGAGAACAAATCGTCTGCAGGTGTTACTAGACAGATATACCATTAATAATAAACATTGCATACTATTCAAACAGTGTTAACTTTTCATGAAATACTACACTGGTTTACATGTTTTCCTGTTTTCTTGAACTAACGTTGCCTTTTCTTTCTTTCCTTTTCACATCCATATGTTATTCTGCTATTGATGAGCAAATATGATTGCACACTATAAGCATAATATTCATCATTTTGCTAATTCTACTCTGGATAAAAAGGCACCAATAGACCAGGCTTATAATGCGAGTATTGTCTATATAAGACTCATCAATGGCGCTCGAATTAAAACTTTTGGAAGGCCAAATCAAATACGAAGTTGAGCGTTTTAAAAAACCGAAATTCCCAAAAGTTATGCATAAAAATGGCTATGGCAATCTATACGTACATCAGTATTGGCATCGACCCAGTGGTTGTAAAAAGTCATAAAAAATACCAGACTTAAATTTTGTATGCCAGATGCGCTTTTCGTCTAAATTAAACTCACCAGTGGCGTTCGTATCGAAACATTTTGAAAGTCAAATCAAATATGAAAACTCCAAAAATTGTGGCAAATACGTCTAAAGCAATCTATACCTGGGGGTAGAAAAAACTTGGTGTTTAAAGTTCGTTCGTGAGACAAACCTTTACTTAATTTTGTCTCTTAAAAATCATCAAATAATAATAATAATCTGTCATGTCAAACACACGTGTGTTTACATAAGAATGACTAGTTGTTGCCCTCTAATCAAACGTGTTAGAAGGCCAATCAAATACAAGGTTGAAGATCATTTGGAAACCAAAAATTCCGAAAAGTGCCAGACAGTCATATGCCATTTATGCTTGTGGGTAGAAATACCTTGCTGTACGGAATAACACTTTGATACTAAATTGATTACAAAGGCATTCGAACTTCATATTTTCTCCTGTAACACACATATTGTGATCAGATTGAGATGTTCGAAACATAGACCAAGGTTGATAGTAAAATAATTTCTTTGGTAGATTGTATAATGATCTCATGTAGAATCTTTGCATAAAATTAAAAAAAATTACTGCCAGTTATTGAATGCATGTGAGATAGGATAATACTTGTGTTAATTTATGTTGCAAACTGAAAACTGTTAACTGAAAAAAAAGTTTCATTTGTGATCTTCCAACTGTCCTATTTCTAATGTTAATACCCTCCTTTTTCAGAACTTATTCCTACTTGTTATTTTTACATTTCATGAAGAACACGGAGGATCCTATTGGAAAAACAGGAACCGCACAACGGACCACTTGAGTTATTCACATAACATGGAGAACATGTATCAAAGAGGGGTGTCCCAAATATCGAGAAAATATAATTTTGGAATAAAGAATGTCAAACAATTTTTAAGCATGTTTCATTTCGATTCTATGTTCTTTTTTCCTGATAAATAACATGAAACAGTCTAATATCCTGCATGAAAAAATATAAGACAACAAGTTCTACTGAAAGCATTTGAAATGTATGACTGTCAATGTATATTTGTTACACCTAACAGATTTATTTATAAACAATGGAATAGTATATATTCCTATTGGAACACATATTCTTGACCCTTATTCCATAACATGACTGGTATCACATGATAGGAATAAAAACAAACTACCATGCAACTGAGTGAATCCTAATTTCTTGTTTCATGAACATAAGACAGTTTCTATTTACTGCAAAAGTCATATGATTCAACTAATAGCATGTGATCCCAAGTAATGGATTGACATAATTCCTAAATACGAATATTATAAAGAATTTAAATGACTGAAATAATGCCAAACAAGTAATATCTATTTTAAGTCAGTCATGTGCTCATTCATGTGACTCGAAACAAAATTGTATCGATTGATCAAGGATCCAATATAGATTTACAACATCAGTTTTACCGAATAAGTTGGAGGTGTTTGCTTAAATACACGGCGATAGTGTAGTAGGTTTTCAGAGTGAAAACAATGTTTCTCTTGAAAAGAATGGGTTCAAATTATTTTTTTCGAAATTAAAGGTATGTTCTAAGTATAGATTTTTTATATATCACCTGCCCAATAGTCAGCACGATATGGTCATAATTATAAATCAACTGTTTACAAACATTTGAATTTTTCGAAATACTATTTTTAGTACTAAGGAATTTCTACCTAAGGAATACATTATCTTATAGCTGTGTTTGACAAAATCTTTCGGAATTTTGGTCCTCAAAGCTTTTGCAACTTTGTACTATATTTAGCTTCTTTAATTTATTTCATTCGAGAGTCACTGATGAGTCTTTTGTAGACGAAAACCGCGTCGGGCGTACACAATTTCAATTCTGGTATGTATAATGAGTTTATACTAAGAATGCATAATGTACAAAAACTGTTACCATTCCTAATTTATTTGTTAAAATATTTATGGTATCATTAATTGATTTTACATATCGGTTTATGTCCACGTTAATTTTATTGCTTGTTTTTGGTAATTTTCCTCAAGTTGTTGATATAAATTTTGTGTAATACTATTCTATTAAGTAGATCAGGCCTATATAGTCATATTAATGGAATTAGTGTCTATTTGTACAGTTATAATATTACATGTATCAGTTTGTAACTTTATGTGAAAATGATGTAAATTAATATCAAAAATAGAAATAAAGTGGATATAGTTATCAAGAAAAGATGGCTTTCATGCCATCGTATGACCTATACTGACGGTCCAAGTATCAAAGGAGTAGGTTCAGTAAAACCCCTTTTTGGCCCCAAAATATAGCAGTTTTACAAAATTGTTAAAATGTAAACTTTTATATATTTATTGGAAAGTAGAATACTTCTGCTACATAAATATGGGCTGTATTTGACAATACAATGCACATATATGGGGTACTAGCAGCGTTAAGTGATGCTAAATTACTGAAATCTTCACAATTTTAGCATTTGAGTTAAATTTTAGACGGTTTTCGTCTTAAATGGAAGTGGCCGCATTTGTGTTCATTCTTAATATTTAAATGTAAGTTGTATTTGATGATAATACACAACATATATAAAGGTTGAGGATGAACACGGATGCGGCCACTTTCATTTTTGACAAAAACCATGTGAAAAGTGACATATTATGGCATATTTGATAGCTTTTTCATGTTAAAGCTTGAATTTGAGCGTCTTTAATGACTAAATCAGTTAAAATCTTTCACATAAACGAATTGAATTGACTGAAGTAGACACTTAAGTGTTTAAAAAGTGTCCAAAATCTGTCATCAGATGAATTTGAAATTTGAGGCCAAAATCGGCCCTTACCGGACCTACTCCTTTGTCACAGCACGGCAACTGGTTTGTGTTTTATATTATTGCAAATGATTTTAATTACTAAAACATTCCTATTTATCACCAAACCCTTGGCCCCTACGATAATGACTTAATCAAAAATCACTTCATATGTTAGTGAAAGAACATAGTCCCAATGTTAGTTAGTTATCAAAGGTACCAGGATTAGTTACTTAGCTTTCGTAGCTGATTTATACTTTTTCAGACTGTGTTTCATTGATGCTTGGTTTAAGTTCTTTATGGGTAAAAAACTAATTTAAACACCCAGATTTCTTGCTTTCTTTTGATTTCACTATTATTACGGCACGTAGAATGGGCGAAAAAGCGATCTTAATCATTGCATATATGTTGAAAAAGACAGAAAAGTTGCTTTCATGTAGTCTAAAAATTATCAATACAGAATTAAATTCCAAACAATATGGACGAAAATGTTTGTTTGTATACAGTACTATGACATATATCTATATCAAACGTTTAAATACTAGTTACAAAATCAAGCAAATTATTAAACGAACTGAGAAGTAAATACACGTATGTATTCTATTCTAAATAAAAATATCATTACAAAATAAATCAAGGCATTGAATGAACTGAGAAATAAACAAAAGTATGTGTTTTCAAAATAAAAAAGAGTTTATGTTTCATTTACGAAAACACATTCGTGTCAAATATCGTTTCTATAACAAACACAACAGCAGTTTCACTTAAAAAATAAATGTGAAAGGTAGCCTTTGAATATTACTTCTTTGGTATACATATGTTCCTGTTATTACAAAGCAATTCACAATTAGTTATAGAAATACCAACAGTTTGTATGAAGGGTGTGTTCCCATTTCGCCTTAACTGTGAATTCCAGGTAAAAAAGGTAAAACAAATACTAAGGCGATATGGGAATTGAACTAAGGCGAAATGTGAATTTAGATAAAAAATTTAAATAAACAAATTGAACCTCTGTGTTTTTATAACAATTTAAACAACATGTAATTAAGAAAGTGTTTCTCTTGAATTATTATTTTTATATTCATTTATTAAAAGTGACAATTTTTATGATTTCAAAAGTTGTGAAATCAGAAAAAATCTTCAATAAAAACATTAGTCAGTACGAAAGCTGCTTCTCTTGTGTTTAATTTAATAAAAGTTGCAATTTTATGAATTTTATGCAATTAGAAAACTTTACATTATGCAACACGAAAAGTTAAAAAGAACAACAAAAATAAACTGTTTTCCCACAGACTTGTTAGCATATATATTAAAAAAAACTTTAATAAAAAAATAAAATAATAAAAGAATCTTTAAAATTGTGTTAATGTGCATCCAGAAATGCAGTTGCTCATGTCTTTCCAAACGCAGAACTCAAAGGTTTTTTGTTGCACTACGCAAAAGCCATATGGAAAAAGAAACAAGAATATGGGCTTCAAACTCAATACAAAGATGTCCAGGATGTCAACAAACTCGTCCGTCGTGCAGCAGCCTTACCATTACTGCCCTTAGATCGTTTGGTTACACGCCTTGGAAAACGTACCACAGACAGATGCTTGCACCAAATTAACCGACTATGTAATTCTGACATGGATAGAGGGCAGATACCCACAACCAACCTGGAACCACCACCAAACAGAAGGACCCAGGATAAATAATCATTTAGAGGGCTGGCATAACAAGCTGAAAAAGAGGGTCAAAACAGCACTTACAAACATATTTGAATTTATCAATGTGTTCAAGAAAGAGCAAGCAGCTAACGAGGTAAAGAAAGTACAGTATGCAGCAGGTGGCAAGATGAGGGGAAAAGCTAAAAGGTATAGAGAAGTAGAAGAAAGATTCACCACTTTGAAGGAAAATCTACATAATGGTACAACTGACTATATTCAGTATGGTGATGCAGCATCCTACATCCTTAAACTTGGAAACTAAATAAATTTTGAACATTCAAATGTGTACATCAGTGCCTTGTTTTTCACAATATGAACTATCATATATAGTATTATTTATTTATGTTTATGGAAATAATTCTTATGTTTTATGTATCAGTGCTTTTTCTCATGCTATTATTTATTACATGTACATTTTCTCTATTAGTATGCTAATCTGAAATTGAGTGTGCTTGTAATTCAGTGCTGATTCAGAAATAAAATATTTGTTATGATTGTGTGATATTTGTCTTTATTTATTCATTAAAATATGAAATATTCCGTATCCTATTTGTCATCTCTAATAAGACTTTATTTACAAAATATATCGCATAAGTAAAAAAATACTTATTCAGAAAAAGAAGTGCAACTATAAAAAGAATTATTTAAAAAGTGGGACAATCGGGTGGACACAAAAAAATTTAAAAAAAAACATCTTCTTTTAAAAAGTATTTCATGGCAGAATTTGGCATCAAAATAACAAATATCAACTAATTGCAATACAAACAAAAAATAACTTAATTACATTGTTTACACAAGCTCCCATTTCGCCTTAGTTAATTCTTGTGTACCTGAAAATTTGTACTAAGGCGAACTGGGATTAATTTTATATAATGATTTTGACAGCTAAGGCGAAATGAGAATAAGCCGTATGAAGGCACATTCCTGATGAAAGGTAATGAAGGGAAACATATAGACTTTATTTGAAATGCAATTCAATGAAATGATGAACCACAAACAGCGATACAGGTCTTGACATGATATACTACGAAATATTTTTTTTAACACAGCTTCTACGTTGCAATTTTATAAAGTGCATGAAATATTAGAATACAATGCACTTATCCATTATTGTTAACACTAACATGACTAACGTTTAACAGTATTAACATCTTTGCTCTAATCATCTACTTTGAATAAACTATCTCAGAAAAATATCTATTATAAATAATTTATATGAAATAAAATTGAGAATGGAAACGGGGAATGCGTCAAAGAGAAACTAACCCGACCAAAGAGCAGAAACAGCCTAAAGCCACCAATGGGTTTTCAACTCAACGAGAAAATCCCGCAGTCGGAGTCGGTTGTTAGTGCATGCTTCTTCCTTGATTTACAAATACCCCTCCATTTTACCAACAAACTGCTGTTGCATATACCTAATATATTATTGTAGATATGCTATAGGTTAATCATACTTTTTTGCAGTTACATACCTATTTGCATGGTTTATGCTTCCTACATGCAGACTCGCCATGACAGAGGAAAAAATGGAGATAAGAGATTCCAATTCAACAGAGCCCACAGGGGCAAACATGTTCAACGATCAAATGTCAGGTGAGTGGTGCTCTGCATAAGTAAAAAAAATATTGGTCATACTTAAGTCATTTATAACTGTTGGAGCATTAACGCCTCTTCTTTTTTAAGACCTTCCCGATTTTATTTTACAAAAATTAAATCGGATATCTAAATAGAAGTGAAATAGAGGGAGGATATATATATACCAAGAGGGCATATGCATCATAAATGAGCAACTCGAACCCTTCCAAAAATAAATCGAATGATGTTATAGTCGATGGAAAAGAAGACGAGCTTGTGGTATTTTTTATGTTTAGTTCAATGTAATTGATTCAATCAACACAGCTGCAAACCTTTCATTTATGACAGCTTCTTTCCATTTTCAATGAGAATGTCCATAAGTTGAAACATGTTACAGGAGGAATAAGAAATCGAGACCCAGATGACAGTCAGAGGTTATGCAAATCAAAAGAAAAAAAACTGGTGTACGGGCCAACAAGAACATATTTTTAAGAATAGCAAATGAATGAATGAAACTAATGCTTCGCGCCAATCAAAATGTGATCAAACTAATTTAAGGTGCACCGGATTGACAAACGATAATCTTCTTCGCATGCGACACTTTTTATATGTTTAGCTCAATTTCATTTTATTACATACATGCTTCTGAACCATCCTGCATTTAGAATTCTCATGACAAAAAAAGAAGGGAACCAAAATATAAACTGTTTGAGACCAAACACCGCTGAGCCTAAAAAGACCATCTATAATTGTCTAATAACTTCGTGTTCAAAGGAATTAGTTCGTCAAAATGCAATAATGATTTTAGAAATTGAGATTCAGCGCTGAATACATTATATGGGCACTTATTTCTTTTTGGGACCGTTTATGTTTTTCTCTGTATATCATTGTAGGGATTATGTCGTCGAGTTTATATCTCATTGAAGCTTATATCATGTTTCCCTTTATTTATATTTCAATATAAGAACACTTTTAAAAAAAATTCCAGCATATGAGTTTAATATTGTTTAACAAATTACTTTAATATATAAAAAATATGTAGCTTGTATCATGATAGTAATCTGAATGATATTCTAAAAAAAGCAGGAAACAAAATTGATGCGTTGATGAACTTCGAGCTATTCATTCAAAAAATAAAAGATATGGCCTTTCGGACGTGATTATTCTATTTACAGGTGCTATTTTAATGGAAAGACCCAATGTGTCCTGGGATAATGTTGTTGGATTGGATTCAGCCAAAAAGACATTGATAGAAGGTGTTGTTTTGCCTCTCAAATATCCAGATTTGTTTTCCGGTATGTATTTACTAGTATTCATAGTGGGAAAATGAGAGGAGTCTACACGTTTAAAATCCCATACAAAAGTATAACGTCAAACTGGTTAGTATGGATTTTTTCCCAACATACTTAATCATTCGAAGGCGTTTTGGGCGTGACCCCCTTTTCCTGTTTCTATTTGTTTCTCCAAGTTTTAGCGTGTAAAAGAGTGATAACAATAACTCCTTTTAAAGTGTTTGTGTGTGATCTTTTGCAAGGAAATTACTTGCCAAATGAAAAATATAAGAATAGAGATTTGCATGCATAAGCTGCTGCTATAATGAGATTGTATGTGTAAGAACCATTTAAATAAGAAAATAAATAGTTGAAAAACTAATGAATATCTACTAAAAAATCCCCATCTAAAAAAGGAGTGAGTGCGAGCCTCAAGCTCCTGTAATATCGTCCAGCTATCGATGCCCTATCGTCTATTTGTATGAATAATAAGGACAACAACGACAGAAACATGTCAGGCTACATATATAAACTGATGCAAACTCAACTGAGTTTTGAATAATGTAATGAATAAGTTTATGTTACGCACAATAAATAAAAACCTGTAGGTACACGAGAATTAAAAATCAGCAAACCACATTTGTAAAGCAGCAATAATGAAGATTGAAACATACAGATTAAGATTATATGTGAAGTTACAAAAACAGTTGTTTTTAAAATTGTTTTATTTTTAGGAAAACGACATCCTTGGAAAGGAATTCTGCTGTATGGTGTATGTATTCCTAAAAACCAAAAATAATTATGTTAAACAACTATGTTTTGCAAACACAGGTCTTTTATACATAATAACAATTTTGTTTTATAGAAATGTAAATATCGGAAATAGATTTTATTTATTTGTGAATGGAGATGCAACAACCAAATATCGTGATAAGAAACCCTAAACACATATTTATATGCAAGTTAGGGGAGATATGTTTTCTTTTGCAAAAGTCACCTGCAAACCTTTTGAAAGAGTTTTTGAAACTGATATTTGAAACTCCGAGAATGTAGAATTGGTGCATATATGGCAATACACTCATAGATACCAGTCTTACAATTTTGCACACCAGACTCGCGTTTCGTATGCAAATTCATTAGTGACGCCCGAATAGAAAAGTTAAAAAGGCAAAATAAAGTGAAGAGCATTGAGGACACAAAATTCCAAAAGATTTGCAAACTGCAGCTAAGATCAGCTAAGGTTATCTATTCCTTGGGTAGAAATCCTAAGTATTTTTAAATAGTACCATTTTGTTAAAAGTTAATTTACAATTGAGATTATATCGATGAAAATTCAGGTCAACACAGGAGTGCTGACTAAAATGAAGAAATATTTGAATTGTTAAAGTGAATGACACACCAACTTAACAACAATTAAAGGCGTACCAAAATACACAGGAATTCTTCTTTAATCCTGATAAACAGATCGACTCTCTTTTTCATTTCGAATTGCAAACAATCTGAATTTCACATTTAAAAAAAATCCAGTACTCCCTTGAATGGTGTTTTACATATTCATTTCTATTACCATTTAAAAAAACCTCTTTTTTAAATTAATTATCATTGTTTTGTATGGTATTTACATCAAGCGGTACTAATTTTACTGCAACAGATGCGCCTTGACAACACATCTCCTTAGTGGTACCCAAGGCAAAAATATTTAAAATTTTGGCATGCTAGTACAACAAAATGGAACAAATGTGTAGCCATTCTTAAATATGAAATTTGAAATTCATGTGAATAAGCTTCACGTAAAATTTACGTAAAATTAATCTTAATATATTAAAAAAAATTTAAATTAATTTCAAGTTAACTTTACTTGGTTGTTGAGATAACTGTATTCAAGAGAACAATCTGATTAAAACGGTTACATTTGTGGACATGATAAATTAAAAATAACCCACAACTTCCTTCCGTTGATACTAATATTTCCCCTATTTTTTCCTGTCCTTTAAGATAAACATTTAAACATTTTTAAACATTAACTCTTTCAATTTTAGCCACCAGGTACTGGAAAGTCCGATCTCATCAAAGCAGCAGCCACTGAGGCTGCTAATACATCATTCTTTTATGTGTCGTCACGCAAGATATCATCTAAATGGTCAGACGGTGAAAAGTAAGTGCAGAAGCGGATATTTTTTCAAATAAACTTCTTTTATATAAATATATAATTAAGCTATAATGCTTGAGCAAAATTGTGTTTTAACAAATAATGACCTGTAAGGGAAACTATGTTATCTTATGAAAACAAACATTGGCCAGTATTCAAATGAAACTCACGAAGGGATTTTTTATATAGTAGGAGATACAAAGGAGAAAATCAAAATCATAAACCGAAAAGGGATGTATAAACCATGACCAAAACAATAAAGGCAACAGTAATATACCGCTGTTCGAAACTCATAGATCGATAGAGATAAAAACAAATCCGGGTAACAAACTAAAACTGAGGGAAACGAACGCATCAAATTTAAGAGGAGAACAACGACACAACAAAAACACAACATTAAAATGTAACACACACAGAAACGAACTATAATATAACAATGGCCATTTTCCTGACTTGGTACAGGACATTTTAAGAAAAAAAATGGTGGGTTGAACCTGGTTTTGTGGTATGTCAAACCTTCCGCTTTTATGGCAACGTCAAACACAACACCAAAACGACAACATCACATGACAGGACCACAATACAAATAAATGGGAGAACATATAGGACAAAGAAACACACTAATAATAGCTAACAAAAGGTACTAGGCTTAAAATTCAAAACGCCAAACGTGCGTCTCGTCCACACAAGACCAACCAGTGACGCTCAGATGAAAAAAGTTTCAAAGCCAAAACAAGTACAAAGCTGAAGAGCACCGAGGACCAAAACTTCCAAAAAGTTGCGCCCAACACGGCCAGGGTTTTCTGCCTGGGACAAGAACATCCTTATCATTAGAATAATTTATAATTTTGCAAACATTAAATATATAAAATGACTATATAATAGATATACATGATAAAACCGAAGTGGGGACTAACTACAGAATAAAAACGGATACACAGCATAGATAAAACAGAACAAAGAAAAACCCACAAAACACTAACCCCGTAAAAGCATGGTGAATACAGGTGCCCTGGAAAATGAACACTTACTCTAACACCAATGCTGACACATTAATTTTTGGTGTTTAATGACATTCGAAGATGGGAATTAAAAGTTGTGATTATATTCATTTTTTTTCTCTCTTGAAGTTATTCAATATTCAATTCTAATATAAGAAATATTGGAATATACATTGGTTTTTGAAATATTAGTACACAAGGTCAACGATTTGACTGGTGAATTACAATTGCACTGCCGATAACTGTACCAATTTATGATTTGCTTGGGTAAATGTTACGCGTTTTTATGAATTTTATGAATTTCAGATTACTTCAAACATTATTTTCTACAGCAAGAGAACACAAACATAGTATTATCTTTTTTGATGAAGTAGATGCTTTATGTGGAAGTTGTAGTGATAGTGAGTTTGAATCATCAAGGAGAATAAAAACGGAATTCCTAATCCAGATGGGTGGTGATAATAGAAACGTGCTGGTAGTAGGAGCTACAAATACACCCTGGATGTTAGACCCGTCTACTCGCAAAAGGTATTTCAAAGCCATTTGTTTAGAGCATGTCAAAGATTTGTATTTCTATTATACTTTTCCGAAAAGAAAAAAATACCCATCCTATTATCTAGTCGTTCGACATTTGGCATGTTCTTGAATTGCGGTAGGCTAGTGCTGTATGGTATTATAAGTTTTATTACCTCAACACCAGTTGAATTACGCTGCTATATATCCCTCCCATGTTTATTTCCGAAGCCTAACAATTTACGTTGTCTTTAGCTGAAGGTATCATCAAAAATTCCCACAAGAAAATTCATACAATGTACTAGTAAATCTTCCGAGACGAAAAGAATTTTTCGAGTATGGCAGTTAAGGTTAAGGCACAATATGGAATTATTATGATTAAAATATGACAAGCAGAGAATGTTAAAATGAAGAAAATTTATACACAAAAACATAAAATGAGATGAACGTTTCCTTCCAGTCAGAGAACTACTAAAGAATGTACATTCTTGCATATTCTGTACTCGATTTTGGAAAGTTGAGATGCATATCTCACGCTAAGTTATTATTGATAGGAAAAAGGAAAGAGATTTTCCAAGTAAAATTTAAAAATGGTAATTACGGTTTAACTTTCTGAGCCTGACAATATTTTAATGTCAGTTATTAAACGTTTTAATATTCTCACATGAAATATACTTATCGCATACAGAATGTCCTTGTAGAAATTCTAAGGGGCTTCAAATTCTTGAATAAGGCTATACTTAATCATAGTAATTTCCTATGTAGGAAGTAGGAAGAGTACAAGATGGAAAACAAAATTAGACAAAATATGTAATTTTACTACAACTTACACTCATGCGATTCTTGTTGTTGTTTTACTTTCACGATCTTCATTATACAAGAGCATATGTTTCAATGAAAATGGATACTGTAATCGTGTATCCTCATATCTAAACAGTCAAGGTCGGCAAACACCCATGTTATGGAGTTGCCTGACAGTTATAGCTACAGTGACATATATAGGAGCACTTTAAGACCCGTTGTGCTTTCAATGTCGTGTCACACTTTGTTAATCCGGAACTTTTTGAAAGCTCCAGAAAGTTTGACCTAACATGCATAGATTCTTCTAGAAGAGAGGCGAACGATACCGAAGGGACATTCAAACTCTGAAGTCTAAAATAAACTGACAACGCCATGGCAAAAAACAAAGAAAAAGACAAACAGACAAACAACAGTACATAAAACACAACATAAAAAACCAAAGACCGAGCAACCCGAACCCCACCAAAAACTGGGGGTGATCTCAGGTGCTTCTGCTTCTACCTGCTATATTTGATTAGCATGGAAGTGTAGAGGCACATTTTCGAATGGTGCCCTTCAGCCAAAAACTATCGGTAGAATAACAACAGGAGATGCTTATGGTGATCTCGAAAGGTAGACATGAATATTTTTTGGTAAGATACTAGGATGATCAAACCGTGGCGGGGTATGTCCACGGGAGACCCCTTTACAATCAACCGGATTAAAAAACAACCAAACGACATCTAGAATTCGACATACAGTCTTCGGCACTAGACAGCTGTTCGTATTTATACCTTAAATGAAAATACGATGCTTTTCACTAAGGTATTTCAATTTTTTTTTTAAACTTTGATAGTAACATACAACCACAACAGCAATATATTCAAGGAATAACAGTACTGTAGTTGAAGAGTTGCCGTCGTCAATTGGCAATTTGATGGTCACAAATGCAGTTTTGCCGGCGACGCGGATTTGATGGTAAATTTTAGCCAATGAAAACAAAATGTTACATAAAAATTGCATTAGAATAATGATTTTTAGATTCGAGAAAAGAATATGTATCCCGTTACCAGAAGCCTCGGACAGATCTGAAATATTTAAAACACAATTAGGCATTGCTGTTCACTCTCTAACAGATGAAGACTTCATAGAATTAGGAAAAAGAACGAATGGGTAGGTTTAAATTGAAACCGTGAATCCAAGGCATTAATTTTTATAAATAGATAATTTTTGGGTTGAGTGTATATTCCTTTTAATGCATGTAGTATACAAAACGAAATGTTAAAAAGATCAATCCTCTCATAGTGAGAAGTGTTACAGCGCGGTTTTCCGTGCAAAGAGTACAAGAGCCACGAAGGACACATGAAATCAAGACTAGAAATAAATCAAAAGTGTTGAATTATACCAACAAAATCGCAAATTGTGTTGCTGATTCTAGGAATCATGATTTGAATAAAAATTTATATGTTGTCCATTTTTTCTTATTAGCACAAAATGGACTGCTGATAATTGTATTTTTGTTCAGACTAGAGACGTAAAGCCCTTGAATAGGTTTATTTATGAATTGGAAGATCATACATGTGTACTACAGATAGTATTACTGTTTAAGAAACCCCAAAAATCCTAAATGATATAATATCACTTAATGGCAGTTGTTGCTGAACGTTTCAGAATGGTTGGTGAGTAATGAATAATAAAATGTAATAACTTATCGATTCCTTATCTAAAAGTTATTTTTTCATAATGTGCAGATTTTCTGGATATGACATATCAGTTGTTGTGAAAGAGGCTTTGCTGAAACCTGTTAAAAATGTACAGACTGCAACACATTTCAGAAAGGTAAATATATAGTTAAAGAAAGGTCAGCGCAATATGTCGGTTCCTGGTGTAAAACAACTCTTTTGTTGAGATAATTAAATCAGAAAGAATTGCATCGCATGTGTACATCCAGAAGGTATCACCAGCACAGAAGTCCAGATTTTCCTAACATGATTTCATTGATTCGGTAATTTTCTGCAAATGGATGTTAAAACAATTCTTTCTACATCAAGTAACAGATAGACTCCGCAGGATTTGACACAATTTTCGATCTATTGGTTTTCAATTTTTCTCAATTTCGTCGTTGATTTTATCGTTCAAATATTTTGTTTGAGGTCTACTGATGAGTTTTATGCAGACGAAAAACGCCAATATATTGTACTAAATTGTAAGACGTGTTATCTTTGGTGAGTTTTTACAACCACTGGTTCGACTTGATTTGGTCATGTTATGTAAAATTGTTCGGACAATGTTTAAATCATTCGAAACCCTTCAGAATTTCCTACTCCCATACATAGATTGACTAGCAAGATTTGGCACAACTTTCTACATCGTTAGTGTTCATTTCTCTTCAGTGTTGTTGTGGGTACGGTCATCTGTTTCAGTCTTGTAAACGGAACGGGCGTTTGGCATACTTAATTATAGCCATGTATGTTTTAGTTTTGAGTTTTCACACTAATGGGTAACACCAATATTTCAATAAATTGACACTGTGGTGCTGACATGAATTATCAATGGTACCGTCATTTGCTGTAATTTTACTGCTCATAACATGTTTTCATAATTTTTAATTAATATATCAATTGTAAAAGAGAGGCGAAAGATACCAAAGGGACATTCAAACTCATAATTCGAAAATAATGGCTAAAAAAGAAAAAGACAAACAGACAAACAATAGTACATAAAACACAACATAGAAAAATAAAACTGTAGTATTCAAGTTTTGCCTTTGTATTGTATTGTATTTTTAAAAAAGACATATTTTTTGTATGTAAAGTAACTTTCAATTTCAAAACTTATAGGATATCCATATTTCAGTCAGTACTTGCAGTACTAGTGAAAATAGTTGTATAAAGTTCGAGATTGCATGTTCGTTACGTAAGTGCGTCACTGTTTGTGATGTCCTGTGGTGTCTGTCGTTGATGGAAGATGTTCGTTGTTGTTCTGCGGTTTGCATGTTGTGTCGACTATTATATTATTTGTTTGTGCGTTTCTCTGTGATGAGTGTTCTTGCGTGTGTTTGTGCTGTATTTCTGTCACGTAGTGTTGTCATTTTTGCGATGTATTTTAACACTGACATATAAGCTGGAGGTTTGGCTAGCCATAAAACCAGGTTCAACCCACCATTTTTTCTTAAAATGTCCTGTACCAAGTCAGGAATATGGCAGTTGTTATCAAATAGTTCGTTTCTATGTATGTTGGCGTTTGTTTTTGTTGTACTTCAGTGTTCCTGTTGTTCCTTTGTTTTCCTCTTATAGTTGATGTGTTTCCCTCGGTTTTAGTTTGTAACCCGGATTTGTTTTCTCATAATCGATTTATGACTTTGAACACCGGTACACTACTGTTGCCTTTATTTATGAGAATATCAATTTTGATATGCATGCTTTGCTGATGTATACATTTTTTTTTAAAAGAAGACATACTTTTGGAGATTTCTTATTAATAAGTTAATGTGTATGTTTCTACATTTCTTTCCATTAGAAATTAAAACACTGAAAAATCTGCATTAAGCCTGGCAAAATAGCAAAACTCTTTAAATCGCTAAAGAGGCTATTTTGCCGGAGCCGGTAAAATAGGCCCTAGGGGGCTGTTCTGCCGAAACCGGTAAAATAGCCCTTAATAGGCTGTTCTGCCGGAGCAGACGAAATAGTCACTGCCCTAAATAAAACAAGTCTCCTGTTTGCACCAATGATAGCCAGAGCACCTGATATAACCCCGATTTTTGGAGGGGTTCGTGTTGCCCAGTCTTTTCCATGTTGTTGTTTGTATACTCTTGTTTGTCTTTTGGTCCTTTTCTTTTTTTATCATAGCGTTGTCAGTTTATTTTCGATTTATATGAGTTTGAATGTCCCCCTTGGTATCTTTTGCCTCTCTTTAAGAAAGAATTATCACCCAGATTATAGTCAATTTGTTTGAACTACTTACAATTAAATGAAGATAAATAAACTGTTTATTATACATTTATAGGTTCAAGGGGCGTGTAATAAGGACCCAAGCCTTACAGTGAATGACCTTTTGACCCCATGTTCTTCGGAAGCGCAAGGAGCTATTGAGATGTGCTGGGCAGATGTGTCTAAAGACAAGTTGTTTGAAACCAAAGTATCCATGGTGAGTTATTTTAAGGGCGCTATATCAACAAGTCATCTTGCTGAACATATTTTTATAAATAAACTTGTCCAATTTCATTGTATGTGTTTTAAAATGTATTAATAAAATAATTTTTACAAAGTGAATAATCTGGTCTTAGTATTACGAATGCAATACAGCAATTTTCCAATTATCTCAATAATTAATTTTGTCTGCAGTTTCCAGTTGTGCAGAATTGTCATGAAAATGTGAACGCATACACACATTGTCTTTGTTCTAGCCTATGTCTACTGAAAAATTGCAATAAAGATTAAATCATTGTGTGAAATGTTGATGGTCTTGCAGTCACAAATTAGTTTTTAAACAGTTGGCATTGGTTTTAATAAAAATGTTAACAAAACCTGTGCATCACAAGACGATCTGATTATCTGCAGTTATCAATTGCCTTTTTTTTTCAAATTCTGACATATATGATGATTTGGTTTCAGGGTGATATGCTTGAATCTCTAGTCAACTGTAAACCGACAGTAGCTGAATGTGATCTGAGGAAACTGGAAGAATTCACAAGAGACTTTGTCGCCCATATATGAATAGCATACATATGACATTGTTTTGTTTAATCAGTTTTAACATCTTCATTTGGCTGAAATGACATGATTGCAACTCTATCAAACAGTAAATCTACACTATTCGAAGATGGCTTGAAGAATACAGAACAATTTAAGAGTTTGCTTTAATTTTAGTTATGTTTTTATTTATAATATATATTTGTTGTTTTGCCGATCTTGATGTATTGATCATGGCTATGGTATCATCTTATTTTTTCCCACACTGTTGTGATTAAAGGCAACATTTTACTTCTTGAAACATTATATGAAACAAAATTAAATGTTATAATTGACAAAGAAGCATTTCACTGTTTGATATATAATTTATTACATAAATGTTATCAAAGCTATATAAATGTAAGGTTTATAAATTACAATATAATAGACCAGTAAATAAAATGGTAGACTGACAAACATACCATACATGCTTCATAGAGAAAAGGCAATACATTGATTTGATTAAAACCGCATCAGTTTATAACTAAATAATATAAATTACAGTGTTCTAGGTAGCCCAAATAGAGTGGTGCAACTTCTCTCTGTTCCCTTTGGAACTATTGGAAAAACCTCTTTTCAACACTATAAATTCAGCAACAACACATTATTTTATTCAATCAATCATTTTTCTATATCTATAAACATAATAAAGTTGTCCCTTTTCAGTCAAGATACAGCACTAAAGTGTCTGTCATAAAAATACTGTGCCCCTCTGCCCTGAAATCCTAGCTAGAAAACTGTAATATCTAAAGGCAAAATCAAGATGTATACATAAAAAGATTCATCACAGTGTCAAAATCACATACAAATGGTTTAGTACATTTTGTACTTTTATATTCTTGAACCTATATATAACCTCTAACAAATAAACAGAAATTAAATGTAAATGAGTAGTAATGCTCATTAACGTCTATGCAAGAACTTCTTGAATGTATTAGTGGGGGAATTTGAATAAAGTAGTCCATTTAGGAATCAAGATTGTAATTGTATATTAATTATGTTTTGGTATTTAATAATTTACATTTACTAACAAGATAATGTGTTATTTGACACAGCTATAAATGCAGATTTGAAAGATAAAGGCACCCAGTAATGTCAAATCAAGACTTATTTTCCACCCTTGTCAAAATTTGTTCTATTTTAGGTCTCATAGTTTGCATTAGCTCCAAAAAAGCTTATCAATTCTCATCTCCATGTTTACTAATGTCACAATCTTGTTGCAGATAAGGTATGTTACAAGTGGCATATATCATGACTAAGTTATTTCACCATAGTTTCCAACAAAAAAATGTCTTTATTTATGTTGTTTTTTTGTTTTGTTTTCATTAACAATAAACCAATGTTCATTTTTTAAGTCTACTACTTCCTTTATCATGTTTATATTGTTATGTATTGAAAATATTTCAACAAAGCTGTAAATCAGACATGCACATATTTAACATCAAACTCATCAGTCCTATCAATTATTAGATTCAAAAACAGGAAAATCAGTGATGATAACTTAAGGTTTCAGTTTATTGTGGTATACCGGGGGTAAATTTATTAATGGTGTTATTTTTTTTTTATAATTTTTTAATTTTTGCCACATTCATGCAGCATTTAAAGTTTTTGTCATCACAAAGAAAATGTATGTGTTGTTCAACTCCTCTACTGAAGGCATCCATTATATAAAAGGCATTTTTTTCTGCAGAAGGGAGCACATAAGAAGTGACCGCTGTATTTGTCATACTTCAAGTAAGACCAAATCAAATATAATAAAATTGAAAAAAATAGAAAAGGGAGATGTGTAAAAGTGTTATTATTGTATAGTAGCATAATATTTCCCACAGAACGAAACAAACAGTTAGTGTGTAATATTCTGTAAGATTGCACTATTTCAATTTTTAATCAAATTATCATTAATGGTATCAGTAATAATAATTTGTTTTAAACAGTTTTTCAAGCTTTGCTATATAATAAAAACGTTATTGCATGAATAATGGTGAATATAATCTCTTCATAGAATGTCATTTGACATATTTCAAGATTGACTATAAAGTTCTATTATATAAAAGGAAGTAGACATAAAACAAAAAAGTGTTCCAGTTTAAAGTTTGAATTCATTTAAACATTCTTTCTATAGCAATACAATTTTAATAAACATGTTATTTGCTGAGGACATATTTTACTGTACCTAACAAATCAATAACTTAAATTGGTAGGCTTTTTAGTTAATTGTGCTTCCTTTGGAAACCTGTGATTATACATGTTATAGGGTTGGTTTAAATGAAAAAAAAAACAAACATTTTTTTGTTCTAAAAGTAACAATAATATTAAACTGAGGATAATAAGAAAAAATAATGACCTTGTTACATTTGTCTGGTGAGATTTACTTCTTGAAACAATACACCCTTCTTGGGGAGGTTCAATGAAATGATTTCATGGACTTGCTACACATGTGAATTGTCTACCTTCCTTGGGTAGAAGTATTGCTTAGTGAATTGACTCTTAATGAGTATCAATGCACAAATTGATAACTTATTTATTAAGACAATTCACTCCCATGTCTGTACAAAGTCATTCAATTTCTGCAGATATTCTTCATCTATTGATGGTTTACTTGCATTCAAAGATTTCAAAATATCATCCTGAAAGGAAAAATAATAAATGTGTATGAATATATATGTACTAGATTGTCACTCTAATCAATCTTTAAGAATTGTTAGAAGAGTTATTACACATTTTTTCAAACAAAGAAAAACAATTAAGTTGCCAATCAATTGATGTATGGTTGTTTTCTGCGGATTCTCATGCGATTTGAAAAAAAAAAAAAAAAAATCCTCTTATTATTTGTGACCATATATCCAAGCATGGCTGCTAAAATATTTGATTTATCATCCAGAACATATGGACAGTCAACTTCAGTCAATATCCTTTACTTTATAACTGAGGATGTAATCATGGTAATACTGTAAATTCAAAAATTATTGTGTGGTTTTTATTAATGCGAATAATGATACTTGGTGAGTATTGCAATAATAAGGACTTGCATTCTGATATCTGATACATATATCTTAATGCAGATTTTCCTGAAATCAAAATAATCAATCTCACTTTTTTGTCCATTCATCAAAAAGCGCAATAATAAATGCACACCATTATTTCTGAATTTACAGTAAATAATATTTCATTGCAAAACATTTCATCAGTTAATCATAATATAACATTAAAGACATGTTAAGTACATATCCTATGATAGACTCACAGTTGTTACAGTAGGTTCTGACAATTTGTCTTCTGGTACATCTAACCAGGACATTTCTATAGCCATGGAGTCTTGTGAGGCACAGGGTGTCAAAAGGTCATCTACTACAACATCAGGATCAGTCAAACTTTGTCCTTGTACCTATATAAACAAACACAAGGGTGTCAAAAAGTGATCTACTACAATATCATGATCAGTCAAACTTGGTCCTTCTACCTATATAAAAGAAAACACAAGGGTGTCAAAAGGTGATCTACTTCAACATCAGGATCAGTCAAACTTGGTCCTTGTACCTATATAAACGAAAACACAAGGGTGTCAAAAGGTGATCTACTACAATATCATGATCAGTCAAACTTGGTCCTTGTACCTATATAAAACAAATGGGGAATGTGTCCATGAGACACAGATGATGCCCCCGCTTGCATATCATATAAAGTTATAAAGGGACATAACTGAAGAACGGTAAAAGTGACACTACCCAAATTTGTACTTGATCTGAGTTTTGTTGTACATGTAATAAGTATTGTGTATAACTTTCATAACATTTGGTTGAGGCAAACTTAAGTTAGAGAACGGAAACGAAAAATTCAGCAATTTTTCCGTTTGTAAAGGGGCATAAATTTAGAACAATAGAAGTGACACCACCAAAATGCAATTTTAAACTGTGTTTTATGGTATTAAGCATTTTGTATAAGTTTAATAACATTTGGTTGAGGCAAACTAAAGTTAGAGAATTGAAACCAACTTTGGGTACGTACGAACGGACGGACAAGGGTAAAAGTTAATGCCCCCTACGCTACGGCAGGGACATAAAAACAAGGGTCAAAAGGTCATCTACTACAACATGCGGATCAGTCAAACTTGGTCCTTGTACATATTAAACTAAAACATAAGGGTGTCAAAAGGTCATCTGCTACAACATGCGGATCAGTCAAACTTGGTCCTTGTACCTATATAAACGAAAACACAAGGGTGTCAAAAGATCATCTAGATCTACTACAACATCAGGATCAGTCAAACTTGGTCTTTGTACCTATTTAAAAAAATAAATGGAGAATGTGTCCATGGGACCCAGATGATGCCTCAGCTTGCATATAACATTATAAGGGGACATAACTAGAGAACTGTAAAAGTGACGCCACCCAAATTCAAAACTGATCTGTGTATTATGGTAATGAGCATTGTGGATAAGTTTCAAAACATTTGGTTGAGGCAAACTTAAGTTTAGAGAATAGAAACGAAAAATTCAGCAATTTTTCCACATATAAAGGGACATAACTCCAGAACAGTAATAGTGACGCCACCCAAATTCGAACCTGATCTGTGTTTTGTGGTAATAAGCAATGTGTATAAGTTTCCTAACATTTTGGTCAATATCCCTAATGAGCCTCAAATTGAGGAACACAACATTAGTGCGTAAATAAAAAATCTCTGTGTAGTGATATTGGATATGTTTCAATTTTTAACAAGTGACTGAACTTAACCATTTGTGCTAATTTGGAGAGCAGAGGACCAAAGAATAAAGGTGTAACACCATGTAGTTATTAAATGTATGCAAAGAACTAAATTTTCAAAGAACTTATTGTGTGAAAAAAAAGGATTTTTTACCTCAAGAAGATGCATCACAAAAGGCATCTTGAACTATTTTTTACTTATTTATTACAATAAATATGAAGAAATAGAGATTAATTTTCTTTTCATTCTGCTGCTAATTTTCTTTGGCATTAATTCAGTACAGAAAGTATTCCTTACATTAAATTACGATAAGTATTGGTGTTATAAGATTTGACCTCATCTTGGTTCATAAACCAGACATATAAAATGTCATGTTGATACCTATCTTCAAATGCTGAATGCAGAAATTAATATCCTTTTCATGCAAGAGAAATTTTTGATACATATCCATCAATATTTCCTACCTTTTTGAAGTGTGAAGCATTTTGAATTTTGCGTACAGGTGCCATTGCAGCATCTCTTACTATAATACAAATATCTGCACCCGTATATCTGGAAATTATAAATTATACATAAAAATTATAACAAGAATTTCCAAAAATACTGGCCCTAACAACAAATCATATCACCCACCAACAGTGTTTCTTCCAAAAAAAGAGAGACAACACATGGTCCAGATACCCTGTATTGATATGGGCATAAAATGGGATGGGCTTTACCATTTTCAAGTTTGCACAAACTACAGCATTCAAAAAAGATCTTATATTTCAAAATAAATATGCATCAAGGAAATGTTGAGGATAGGCTGTTTGGACCTATTTTTCAGCAGACAGGCAATGGTTTGAAGCATAAAATGTTAGACATAGAGTAAAGAGCATTTAATGGGAGGCTGTCGGACTCCGTAGATGCATCATTCTACAAAGTTATATCATTATAAAAATAAGGAGATTGTATAAAATGTGAAACAATTCAAACGGGGATACCAAAGGCCTGATTTATGATAAAAAGAACAAGAAAAAGAAATATTAGATACAGCAACCATCAACAACCAATAATTACTCCCGACTTGGGACAGGCACATAAAGAATGTTGCTGGATTTAAAATGTTTGTAAGCACTAAACCCTCTAACATGAGACAGTGGCTTTGGTGTAACAGCGCAACATAACAACAAACTATAAATCATTTGAAAATGGCTTGATTCATTAGATTGGCATGAAGCACAAAAAACAACTAAATACAAAACAATCAAAGTACCTATCTAAGAGTACTCCCAGTTACCCAAAGCTTGTTCAAAGCAAATAAATCATTTTCTCAAAGACTAAAGTATCAATAAGTTGGTGTACATCAAACCAATTTAATGTAAAGATATCATAATCAGTTAGGAAAAGCATGACCTTGTGCAATGCCAAATATAAGTCCATAGTATCGACAGGATGAAGGACCATTAAATTTTCAAACTGAATATGGATATAAAACTTGATGTAATAAATGAAGCGTTTAAATTTATGGGTAACCAAAGCCACTGGATCGTGAAATATGGGTCATACTTCCTTCATCTTATGTCATATGATTGGTCTCCACAAGATGGATCCATACAGCAAATAATAAGGCTGTATTTGTATGTCTGAAAACTTTGCTGTGGGCACTGACATAGATGAGTTCATAGTGAAATCAGTCATATGGGCAAAACTAACACTTTTTGACTTAAAAGTTAAAATTCAAAGTTACTAGGATCTATTTTGTCAATTATTTGAGTAGAAGTACATATTATAAGACTTACCCATCTGTTTTATTAGCGAATGTCAGGTAGTCCTCAGCCTTTACATCATTTTTAAGAGGCTTTACATTTTTAATAAAAATCTGTCTTCTAGCTTCCTCATCAGGCAATGGCACAAGCACTCTTTTATTTAATCTAAATAATAAATGATCTTTTTGACCTTTTTTGTTACTGTATAAAAGTTTTATATACAAAAGTTTGCATTATTTACAAATAAGCCAGCAAATTCGCAATTCAAACTAGAATTGACTTTTAGTGTAGTTGGGTTGCTGTCTCAGGGAGTTTTATATCATATCTCTTTGTATAAATGTGAAATTAAGTAAATATAAAAGCACTGAAACAGGAATTCCAAAATGAAAGAATAACAAAAGAAGTATTGTCATACACTTCTATATAATTATATTATATGAAAGATTCCTTTTTCAATCTTGATTAAATTTTGTAAATTAAATTTTTGTTCAGGGATAATTTTTAACAGATAAAGATGTTCACAATAAGCTTGTTTTGCCTTTTTGTCATCTTTCCGTAAGAATTAGTTTTGAAACATTTTGGATTAGCTGTTCTAACATACTATCAAAAATTATTGATAACTTAATATATTGTTTAGGTTTTGAGGACTTCCTTGTCTTTTCTTAGTCTTTTTGTTTTATGCCAGGCATTGTCAGTTTCTCTTCAACTTATGAGATTTGAATGTCCCCTTGGTAATCTGCCTCTTTTACAAATCCATGTACATAGATATGCCAGTGTCAATGTTTATTTCAGTCCATTGAAAAAGTCCGAAAATTGAGGCTCTAAATGGTGGAATTTTCTAGTTAGTCTTGTTTTATTCATAATTTGAAGATTATTTTGATGCTCTCTAAGATATTAAAGAAAAGTTAAGAAACAGGATAAAATAAGATTAATGAACTATGTCTAATATCAATAATATGTTCACTTTAAAACAATCAAGGAGTATATCTACCATCATGAAAACATTGTCAGATTTACACTCAATCTTTAATAAAAATTCATTACAAAACTTTTGGTCTTATTTTTCTCAATATGGTTTAATTAAATGCTGTGTCCCATATGGTGCAGTGGTAATAAATCACAGGTTTCACCCACAAAAATAAGGGCATTTGACAAGTATGTGTAAGCTATATTGAATTGTTCAAACCAGGGGCAGATCCCGGATTTTTGAAAGGGGGCACGTAATTCCATAAAACATTTATAAATATAAAAACTTTTGGAGGTTTTTATACTAAAAAATCATATGAATTGTGAAAAAACATGATATGATAAAAAAGTTTGGCGATCAAAAAGGGGGGATACGCCCTATATGTCCCCTGCTGGATCCGCCATTGCAAACTTTTTATTTCACAATATTTTTGTGAAATTGACTAAATGTTTTTTTTAAGGGAAGGGAGGGAAGCCAGACAGTGAAAAATAATATTATGTGGCCTATAATGGATTGCATGCATAAAGTATCACCTTTTCAGAAAAGTGGAATGAATCATCCAGGGTTTGTGTGTTCCTGTCACTATATAAACATTCTCTGCACAGTGATCAATTTGATATAGAAGTTCTGTTCGAATTCTTGGTATACGATCATTTTCACTCTCGTCGTATTCAAACAATTGTTCAAAGTCATCTAAAAATAAAACACATGGCCGACTCTGATTCATGGCCCTTTTAAATAAATATTGCACCATTCTGAAAATACAAAAAAGCTCTAATCTGAAAATGTCTGACAATGTTTTCATCAGGTAAAATATTTTGTCTTGCTTTTTGACTTATCTTTACTTTTATACTACCATAATTCAGTTAGAATGAGTCATTCATAACTAAAAAAGTACTAAATCTGTAACTAAATATTTTACAACTACATACCAAAAATCAGCTCAATATCTGGAGTACACCAAAACAGATGTGAGAAAGTATCAAAACTAGAACAGAACAAAACTGAAAATTAATCTGTTATTCATCATATATCTACCTCATATAGATAAACTATGAAAAAACAACATCAAATTTACTGTAATTTCTTTTTGTTGTTTAAATTAAAAAAGTTTGTTTTCACATGTTTTGCAATTTCAGCAACAATTGTAGAGAAGAAAAAATAAGTCAGCAAGGCAGACCAGATGTAAAATAAGTATAACATTTGTAACACAAGTATAAATTTGTAACACATGTTTAACATTTGACTGAAGCTCAATAGGTTTACAGTATAAACACTTTCACTTGTATATGCCATCAATGCAATGAATTACAGAGCAACTTTTAGCATAAAATTGAAAAAATTTGTAAGAGATTCCGCAAAACCCTGTGTCTCGCCTGGGATTGCTGCTGTCTGTAAAAGTGTAATGTTAACTTAAAAAGTGAGTTCATTTATCAGTAAAATACAGAATTAAAAAAAAAAAAATCAAACTTTTTTCTTTAGATGCTATTCTTGGTTTTGAAGATTAGCTTATGTTTCATAACAATCCATGAAAGTTTTCAAATTTATCATGTCAAAAAAATTGAATCCCAGACTGTCTGTAAACATGGTAAATGTTAACTTTAAAAACGAAGTCCATCTATCAGAAAAATAATAAAAATAAAAAAAATATATTTTCAAAGGTTTCCATCAGACATTTATCTCTTAATTATCATGATTATTAAAAAATTGCTTCGCTGAGCGCAGCTGGATACGACCGCAGAGGTCCAACCCTGAACAGTTGGGGCAAAAATGGACACAATATTCGTGCTTGATACAGGTCTGAATTGGATTGAAATTAAATGTTTGACACATAATAGGTTTCTGACACAGAATAACTGTAGTCAAAGAACTTAGATTTGGTAATATGATTTGGATTTATATTCAATTTTTTGCTTTTGTGCAATACACTATGCTGTTGCGAATTGCCCCCTCCCCCCTTTTTTTTGCCTTTTGTGCAATACACTATGCTGTTGAGAATTGACCCCCCCCCCCCCCCCCAAAAAAAAAATAACATAAATTTCCATGAAGGTTTGACAAAGTTATTGATGACTTAAACTTTAACTTCAGACTGAGCCTGAGTGTTAACTGTAAAAAAACTAAGTCCATTTATCAGTTAAATATGGAAAAATGAAAATAAATATTTTCAAAATTTCACTCTAGATACTATATTTTGGTCAAAAACAAGCTTAGAAGTGAGTGTCCAAATTTCATAAAATTCCATGTAGGTTTGACAAAGTTTTTAATGTCTAAAAAAACTTTAAACACAGACTGAACATAAATGTTGCAGACACCGACAATGGAATCTAGGATTGCTTTGTCTCGATTTTGAAAAACAAATTTTGCAGGGTCAACAAAAAGTAATACCGGTACTAATACAGGGGAATAATCATTATTATAATACACTGTTGTCATTATTACCAATCTATATCTATTTAAAATAAAATTATTTTACATGATTGAGTGATAATCCATTTCAGAAATATATGAACAAGGGACAAGGGTTAGGGTATAATTTAGCAGATGTATCATATTCAGGAGGTTATTTTTGAAATAAACTGTTATCACAGAGATATGTCTCGCCTTTTTGTAAATTTGATAATGCAAATATTGAAATTAAAATAGCAATACTTTAACATGTAAGTTATGCAAATATTCAAAGTCGATGAACCATGACTGAAGGTACATGGCTAAACAATCTACATGAAATGAGATATATGCCAATGCTAATACAACTGCATACCAAATACCATTGACTTATTATAAGTCGTTCCCTTTAAACAAACCTAAACACAAACATTAACTTGTAAACTATGTAAAAATTTCAAAGTCAATGAACCATGATCAGGGGTGGGGCTATATAATCTCCATGGAAACAATACTTGCAAATGCCAATAAATTTGCATACCAAATATCATTGACTTAACATTAGCAGTTCATCTTAAACTGATCTAATCACAAACTAATAAATGTAAACTAAGCAAAAGTTTCAAAGTAAATAGACTATGACTGAGGGGGTGGGGCCAAATATTCTCCATGAAAATGAGATGTGCTAATGCTTATACAACTGAACACCAATTAACATTGGCCTACCACTAATGGTTGCCCATGAACTGACCTAATCACAAACTAATACATGTTAACTTAGCAAAATTTTCAAAGTCTATAGACCATGACTAAGGGGGCAGAGCCAAATAATCTCCATGGATATGAGATATGCCAATGCTTATACAACTGCATACCAAATATCATTGACCTACCACTAGTGGTTCCCCATAAATTGACCTAGTCACAAACTAATACATGTAAACTATGAAAAGTTTCAAAGTCAATAGACCTTGACTGAGGGGGCGGGGCCAAATAATCTCCATGGTAATGAGATGTGCCAATGCTAATACAACTGCATACCAAATATCATTGGCTTACAACTAGTAGTTCACCATGAACTAGACCTAATCACAAACTAATACATTGTTGACGCCGCCGCCACCGTCGCCGGAAACAGCATACCTATGTCTCGCTTTTTGACTCCGTCAAGGCGAGACAAAAATACCTTTCCTAAACATGAAAAATCTGTTTAAAAGACTTAAATGAATTCAGTTTGAATTTCATGCCTTTCAACTCGGATGTATTCAAAATAAAATTGCTCTCTAAATATCATGCCGCATTTCAGGTAATACCTGTTATGGAGAATTCATAAAATATAACCTATTGAAGCTGCAGTGTCAATGATATATTATCCTTCCTTTGTATCTATAACATGTTAACTTTAATAAGACAGTTTCAAAATGTCAATTTTCACTTAAAACCATGAATTGTAAACTTCTTTTAAAGATGGAAAAAAAGAGAAAAAAACCTAAAAATTACATAAAATTCATATTCAAATGAAGAGGGTTAAAAATATATGTATAGATCTTTTTCCTTTGCTTAATTTCAATCAACAAGTAAAAATACCTTCAACAAAGGAAGTATAACATATTGCCAAATTATACCAAGTTCTGTTGAATACCTCCTTAAAACACTCCTTTGAATGGTCCAAGGTGTTCTAGCACTAAGTACAACATGAATGCCTTCATTATCGAGACCAATCCCTTGTATATGAACCATGAGTTCTGTCAGAACTATACGATTTATCACTAATTCATCTTCATTAAATAAACAATCAAAATCTTCTATGAAAACAATGCATGGTTTCAACCCTTGAGCCTTTCTAAATAATTGTTTAATTAATCTGAAAGATAAGCATTCAATACTGTGGATTTATTAATATTCGTGGGATACCAATTGTTGTGGACTTCATGGGTACAGGTAAACCATTAAAATATTCATCGAAGTACAAATTTTGTATAGATTTGTATGCAGACTTTTGTAAAACCATAAAATTTAATATCCACAAAAATACAAATTGTTCTAAATCTATAAAAATTGGTACCCACAAAATCAAATGAATCCACTGTAAAACACAATATTTTCATGTATGTGTCATTGTATTTTAATTATCTAAATATGTAAGATTGTACATAAGAAATTATAAACTGCTCACTTCGGAAAAAATAGAACAATTGTAAGCATGAAAATACAGTATGTCTATTGACAATGAGGACATTGAGTTGCTTTCTTAATTACACTGTTGACACAAAGATATGTCTCCCCTGCATTGCATCTACATCAAAAACAGTTTATGTTCAATAAGTTCTGTCAAAACAAAAAATATAATGTATCTCTGTTACATTTTTGATTAATTAAACTCATTATGGATTTGTTTAAAGATTTTTGTCCACATTTATTACATTTTAGTTTATTTCCATATATTAAAATGTTCATTTTAGAACCAATCTCCATTTTTTTAAAACATTCTGTGCAACCAGGCCTTTTGAGTCCTTGATCTTAATTTTCTATTCATGCTATAGATACTGGATTTCAAATAATTGCATCTTTTAGTTTCAAACAAGTCCTCCAATTGCTTTTTTGTGTTGACATGATGTTAAACAATCATCAATCAATCAATCAATCAAGCCCTTCAGGATCTATCACTTTCAACCAACAAAGTAATGATGTTATTAGGCAAGATCTATACATAGAAATTATTTTATTTCCAGAATACTTACTTTTCTTGGTGTTCCAAGAATTTAGAGACTAAATCTGAACAAACTATTCTGAGGTAAGATACATCAGGATTTTGTCCAGCTAAAGCTTTACCAATCATTGTCTTTCCAGAACCTGGAGCCTATTTATATAAAAGTACCCCAATTTTAGTTATTATTATGAACAGTAATGATTTCAGAGAAATGTCATGTTTAAGATGTAAGTTATTTTTGTGTGTTGGATTGCTATCTTATTGACATATTCATGTATTGCCAACATTCGTTTTAATTCATGACTATTTCAACGATAATCATTTTATGTTTTACTTATACCAAAAAGAGTAATAAATATTTCTAAAATTCCTGAATGACACATGTGGATCAGGATCTGCTAACCCTTCTGGATCACCTGGGATTACCCCCTGTTTTTAGTGGGGTTCATGTTTCTCAGTCTTTAGTTTTCTATGATGTGTTTTGTTTACTACAATGTTGTTTGTCTTTTGATGGTTTTTTTGTTTTTTGCCATGGCATTGTCAGTTTGCTTTTGACTTGCGTTTGAATATCCCTTTCTCCTCTCTTTTCTAAGAATATCAGATGTATGAACCTGTCTAAATATTTTGTATTTACAATATAGATTAATTTTTCAACTAAAAAAATTACTCTGAACAAGAGTCTGACTAAATGACAGCAAAACAGATTTTTATTACATTTATTAGTGTCATTATTAAAGCAATGAAGGGTCAAAACTCTGAACAGCAAAGGTGAAAATCATCAATAGAACAGTTTGCAACTTATTGCTGGGAAACATACTTAAAATGCCATTTTTCAATCAATCAAGGACCTTAACTCCTAAACGGCAGCAGTGAAAATCATCAATATGAAGCCACTGTTGGAACAGTTCTTAACTTATTACATGAAACAACTCAAACTGCCATTTTCCAATCAATCAAGGAACATAACTACTGAACGGCAAAAACGAAAATTATCAATATCCAATGTGACCTCCAATTTGTCTTCAGTAACAACATATTTAAATATGAAAAGCATTGGTTGAACAGTTTCCAAGTTACTGCACGGAAACAACTGTAGCAGCCCATCAATCAGCTGTATAACCAAAAATCTATAAATAAATTTCCATCAGAAAAAACAGGTTAAAATTGGAAATCAATTCAGGCCTAGGGATTTATTTTTACAATTTAAATTCAAGAAGTGATGAATTAAGATAGGAAGATTAGAGAATGCAGAGATTACAATGACATTTACCCCATATAAAAGTATTCCCTTCCACGTGATGAATTAAGCTAGGAAGATAAGAGAATGCAGAGATTACAATGACATTTACCCCATATAAAAGTATTCCCTTCTACGTGATGAATTAAGCTAGGAAGATTAGAGAATGCAGAGATTAGAATGACATTTACCCCATATAAAAGTATTTCCTTCCAAGTGATGAATTAAGATAGGAAGATTAGAGAATGCAGATATTAGAATGACATTTACCCCATATAAAAGTATTCCCTTCTACGTGATGAATTAAGCTAGGAAGATAAGAGAATGCAGAGATTAGAATGACATTTACCCCATATAAATGTATTCCCTTCTACGTGATGAATTAAGATAGGAAGATTAGAGAATGCAGAGATTAGAATGACATTTACCCCATATAAAAGTATTCCCTTCTACGTGATGAATTAAGATAGGAAGATTAGAGAATGCAGAGATTAGAATGACATTTACCCCATATAAAAGTATTCCCTTCTACGTGATGAATTAAGATAGGAAGATAAGAGAATGCAGAGATTAGAATGACATTTACCCCATATAAAAGTATTCCCTTCCACGTGATGAATTAAGATAGGAAGATTAGAGAATGCAGAGATTAGAATGACATTTACCCCATATAAAAGTATTCCCTTCCACGTGATGAATTAAGATAGGAAGATTAGAGAATGCAGAGATTAGAATGACATTTACCCCATATAAAAGTATTCCCTTCCACGTGATGAATTAAGATAGGAAGATTAGAGAATGCAGAGATTAGAATGACATTTACCCCATATAAAAGTATTCCCTTCCACGTGATGAATTAAGATAGGAAGATTAGAGAATGCAGAGATTAGAATGACATTTACCCCATATAAAAGTATTCCCTTCCACGTGATGAATTAAGATAGGAAGATTAGAGAATGCAGAGATTAGAATGACATTTACCCCATATAAAAGTATTCCCTTCCACGTGATGAATTAAGATAGGAAGATTAGAGAATGCAGAGATTAGAATGACATTTACCCCATATAAAAGTATTCCCTTCCACGTGATGAATTAAGATAGGAAGATTAGAGAATGCAGAGATTAGAATGACATTTACCCCATATAAAAGTATTCCCTTCCACGTGATGAATTAAGATAGGAAGATTAGAGAATGCAGAGATTAGAATGACATTTACCCCATATAAAAGTATTCCCTTCCACGTGATGAATTAAGATAGGAAGATTAGAGAATGCAGAGATTAGAATGACATTTACCCCATATAAAAGTATTCCCTTCCACGTGATGAATTAAGATAGGAAGATTAGAGAATGCAGAGATTAGAATGACATTTACCCCATATAAATGTATTCCCTTCTACGTGATGAATTAAGATAGGAAGATTAGAGAATGCAGAGATTAGAATGACATTTACCCCATATAAAAGTATTCCCTTCTACGTGATGAATTAAGATAGGAAGATTAGAGAATGCAGAGATTAGAATGACATTTACCCCATATAAAAGTATTCCCTTCCACGTGATGAATTAAGATAGGAAGATTAGAGAATGCAGAGATTAGAATGACATTTACCCCATATAAAAGTATTCCCTTCCACGTGATGAATTAAGATAGGAAGATAAGAGAATGCAGAGATTAGAATGACATTTACCCCATATAAAAGTATTCCCTTCCACGTGATGAATTAAGATAGGAAGATTAGAGAATACAGAGATTAGAATGACATTTACCCCATATAAAAGTATTCCCTTCCACGTGATGAATTAAGCTAGGAAGATTAGAGAATGCAGAGATTAGAATGACATTTACCCCATATAAAAGTATTCCCTTCCACGTGATGAATTAAGATAGGAAGATAAGAGAATGCAGAGATTAGAATGATATTTACCCCATATAAAAGTATTCCCTTCTACGTGATGAATTAAGCTAGGAAGATAAGAGAATGCAGAGATTAGAATGACATTTACCCTGGCATATAAAAGTATTCCCTTCCACGTGATGAATTAAGCTAAGAAGATTAGAGAATGCAGAGATTAGAATGACATTTACCCCATATAAAAGTATTCCCTTCCACATGATGAATTAAGCTAAGAAGATTAGAGAATGCAGAGATTAGAATGATAATTACCCCATATAAAAGTATTGCCTTCTACGTGATGAATTAAGCTAGGAAGATTAGAGAATGCAGAGATTAGAATGACATTTACCCCATATAAAAGTATTCCCTTCCACTTGATGAATTAAGCTACGAAGATTAGAGAATGCAGAGATTAGAATGACATTTACCCCATATAAAAGTATTCCCTTCCACGTGATGAATTAAGCTAGGAAGATTAGAGAATGCAGAGATTAGAATGACATTTACCCCATATAAAAGTATTCCCTTCCACGTGATGAATTAAGCTAGGAAGATTAGAGAATGCAGAGATTAGAATGACATTTACCCCATATAAAAGTATTCCCTTCCACGTGATGAATTAAGATAGGAAGATTAGAGAATGCAGAGATTAGAATGACATTTACCCCATATAAAAGTATTCCCTTCCACGTGATGAATTAAGATAGGAAGATTAGAGAATGCAGAGATTAGAATGACATTTACCCCATATAAAAGTATTCCCTTCCACGTGATGAATTAAGCTAGGAAGATTAGAGAATGCAGAGATTAGAATGACATTTACCCCATATAAAAGTATTCCCTTCCAAGTGATGAATTAAGCTAGGAAGATTAGAGAATACAGAGATTAGAATGACATTTACCCCATATAAAAGTATTCCCTTCCACGTGATGAATTAAGCTAGGAAGATTAGAGAATGCAGAGATTAGAATGACATTTACCCCATATAAAAGTATTCCCTTCCACGTGATGAATTAAGCTAGGAAGATTAGAGAATGCAGAGATTAGAATGACATTTACCCCATATTAAAGTATTCCCTTCCACGTGATGAATTAAGATAGGAAGATTAGAGAATGCAGAGATTAGAATGACATTTACCCCATATAAAAGTATTCCCTTCCACGTGATGAATTAAGCTAGGAAGATTAGAGAATGCAGAGATTAGAATGACATTTACCCCATATAAAAGTATTCCCTTCCACGTGATGAATTAAGGTAGGAAGATTAGAGAATACAGAGATTAGAATGACATTTACCCCATATAAAAGTATTCCCTTCCACGTGATGAATTAAGGTAGGAAGATTAGAGAATACAGAGATTAGAATGATATTTACCCCATATAAAAGTATTCCCTTCCATGTGGGTCTTCTTCTTCCTAAAATAAATTGTCAGACAAAAACTGAAATGAAAATAAATCTATGACTACATGCAATGTTGGATTAAATTATCTGAGAAAAATGTCATGTAAAATTTGGTATCAGTTATAACCTCTGTTGTTTGATTACACTTCTGAACTAGATCTACTTTTGAGAAATAATAAAACACTATAATCTGACATTTATACTATGAATAACAAAAACTTTGACTTTATAAGAGAATTTATTAACTTATGATTAAACACGACAAATACATATTTTTTTCCTAAAAGTTTCTTTATGAATTATTGGAGAAATTATTCTATATTTCTGATTAATGCTGCATGATTTTAGTATATATATTTGTGATTGAATGCCATATCATTTTCAAACAAAATTTATATTTAAATACATTGTAGATAATCCAAGAATAAATTTTAGTTTCTATTCAAACCTTGAAAGCTGAGGGAACTTGATTGGCATAATTATACTTTCTTTAAGCTGATCTTTAACATCCTGACAACCACATACATCTTCCAAAGTTATATCAGGGGTCTCAGACTCACTCATATCTGAAATACAATGTGCATTTCCTTTTAGTAATATTTAAATGAAAGCTAAGACAACCTTTGAAGAAAGACTCATGTGGGACAGATGTTACAAAGATATACAGATTCATTATTATTCGATGGATACCAATTTTTGTTCATTTTGAGGGAATAGGACAACCATGAATTTGAATGTTCAACATAGTACAGTGTACCATTTTTCTATAGGCTTGTATTCAGACTTTGGCAAAACCATGAAATCAAATATCCACAAAAATACAATTTTTCCTCATTCCACTTAAATTGGTATCCACAACAACAAACGAATCAACAGTATGTCCTAAGAAACATACTCATTTCTAAAAAATTAAACCTTTAAATAAACCTTAATAAAATTCCTACATTATTACATACAGTTTAAGTGTGATTTGTCTAGTAAAAAAAAATTGTCAACAACCAAAGACAATTAAGGATGTAGTCAGGTGAAATTAAAAAATCTGGAATTTAAAATTGATACTATAAGTAAGAAGAGCATTAGTTAAGGAACAAAAAAAGCTAAAAATATTGATAGGTTATGGAACTCCTTTTCAAGATTTTTAATTTTTAAAAATGGCGGGAAAAGACTGACTCAGACTTTTACCTTATATTTGCATTGGCATTATTTGGGTCTCAAATCGTGAGAAAAGAAATCTAGAATCTGCTTAAATTTTGGTAAATAACCTTTATGAGTTATTAAAGTCTGATATGAAAAGAATAAAATGCTTCGCCAAGTGCAGCCTGATACGACCACAGAGGTCGAACCCTGAACAGTTGGGGCAAGTTTGGACACAATATTCAAGCTTGATACTGTCAGAATTTGGATTGTGATAAAATTTTTGACATAATATAGATTTTTTACATAATATAGGATTCAGACACAAAATAAATGTGGTCAAAGATCTTAAAAATTTGAAATGGGACATTTAATTTACCTTGTATGGTCTGATATCCAAAATCTAACAACATGGTTAGATTCAGCATATAAAAAAACACCAAAAATTCAATTTTAGTTGAAATCAAACAAAAAAGTTTAATTTTGTAACCTTCAAACCTTAATATGAACTAATTTGAAAACAGGGCCCAAAATAAAAAATCTAAATGCACAATAAGATTCAGCATATCATAGAGCCGCAATAATTCAGTTTTTGATGAAATCAAACAAAGTTTAATTTTGGACCCTTTGGACCTCAATGTAGACCAATTTAAAAATGGGGCCCAATATCCAAAATAGTAATACAAGGTTAGAACCCCTAAAATTAAAGACTTTAAATTAATCCCATTGAAATTGGTTTAAAGATTTGTATTTATTTTCAATTGAAGATTTCTTGCTATTGCGCAATACTGTGCTGTTGCACAATATTTAGTTAATCTGTTATATATTATAAGTTATATGGTTCGCTACTGACCCCCTACGGATCCATAGAGGGTTAGTAAAATCCATAGGGGATGAGGCAGAAGGCCAAATCTCCTATGTATTTTACTCACCCTCTATGGTTTGTAGGGGGTCTGTAGTGAACCGTATAACAAATTTATCGCACACGGGACTTTTCATGCAGCGTTTTGTAGAAAAAGAAACAATGAAAAACAACGAAAATCAATAGATGACGTCACCATTAACAGTAGACGTGACGTCATGAACCCCCTATGAAATTTACTAACCCCCTACGGATCCATAGGGGGTCACCACGTGACGGCTTTAAACCAATCACAACGTCATAATTTACCCGTGGTGCGATAAAATAATTTCTTATATACTTAGTAGTAAATACAGATAAATTGTATATGTAATACAATCATTGGCAAGCGTTCTGTATCAGCCACCCGTGATGATATCGATATCAGCACGGTTGTAAAGGCTTTATCACACCTTTAATCTGTATGACGTCACGTCATCGATTGCAGTCACTGTTGCAAAGGCTTTATCAAACCCCTAATCTGTATGACGTCATGTCAAACTAATAATCTGTGTGACGTCATTTCAAACCTCCTTATCTGTATGACATCATGTCACATAAAAATCATCTACGTGAGGTATATGTATATAATAAAGTGTATATGATATGGCTTTTTCAATATCACTCACCGTATCAACCCTCAACCAATATAATCCCTCGAGCAGAGCTCTTGGGATTATATTGGTGTCTCGGGTTGATACGGATGTGATATTGAAAAAGCCATATGATATTCTCTATTTACACATCCTGTTTGGCGTGTATCTCCTGCCATATCAGTATTTGTTGCTTTTATATATCAATCAGAAATAATCTATGTAAAAATGGAAAATTTTTGGGAAAAAAAACAAAAAATGATGAAAAAAAATAATCCCCCAGAAAAATTTTTCCCCCCTAAAAATTTTTTTTTACAAAAAATTGAAATTTTGAAAAATCTTGAAGAAAAAAGTATGAACCTCCACCCCAAAAAAAAATTGAAAAAAAAATCCCCCCCCCCCCCCCCAAAAAAAAATTTAAAATTTAAAAAATTTTGAAGAAAAAAAATATGAGCCCCCAAAAAATATTTAAAAAAAAATCCCCCACCCCAAACTTATTGAATCCCCTCCCCCCCCCCCCCCCAATTTTTTTTGAAGATTATTTTCTTTTCAGGAAAAATGTACAATTTCAGAGAGTTTCATAAACTTTATCACAAGTTATTATCTGAAAACAAGAAAAATGCTTGTTTTTGGCCCCTTTTTTTGCCCCTAATTTCTATACATTTGGGGCAATTACCCCCAAACTCAATCCCAGCCTTCCCTTTGTGGTATGGAACCTTGTAGTACAATTTCAGAGACATCCATACACTTTAACACAAGTTATTGTCTGGAAACTAGAAAAATGCTTGTTTTTGGCCCCTTTTTGCCCCTAATTCCTGAACGTTTGGGGCAATTACCCCCAAACTCAATCCCAGCCTTTCCTTTGTGATATGGAACCTTGTGGTACAATTTCAGAGAGATCCATAAACTTACACACAAGTTATTGTCCGGAAACTACAAAAATGTGTGTTTCTGGCCCCTTTTTGGTCCCTAATTCCTAAACTGTTGGTACCATAACCCCCAAAATCAATCCCAACCTTCCTTTTGTGGTATTAAACCTTGTGTTTGAATTTCATAGAATTCCATTCACTTTAATATATACTAAAGTTATTGTCCAGAAACCAAATGTCTTCGGATGACGACGACGACGTGATAGCAATATACAAACGCAAATTTTTGCGGTCGTATAAAAATGTGTGTTATGGGGCAAAATATTTTACCCTGTATCGTAGGAAAAAACCCAAGGTGTCCGAACATCTGACAAAAATTCCTAACCTGACCAAACTACATCCTTAAGTGCTAATAAAAGGATTACAGAAGACAATTTTCCAAATGTGTTTGAACTGTGTACTTTTTTTGCTTTTTGGTGATACACAGAATAGCCACAAAAACTCAAATATAATAAATGCCCTTATCTTAAAAAAATTATTAATCGATTGATTGAAGGTGTTTAACACCACTTTCAGCACTATTTGTAATGTCATGGCGGCCAGTTTTATTGGTGGAGGAAGTTAGTGTGCCCAGGGAGAACCAATGACCTATGGCAGGACAACTGACAATCTTAAGTGAATTAAGATTAGAGTCAAACAAACCTGCAACATAAGGGGTTCCAATTCACAACCTCAGTTATGATAGGCTAGATACTGTAGATGAACTACTAAGATATCTCGGCCATTGAGGCCCCTTATAAAATAAGTAGATTGATTTGCAGGTATGCTGTGAAAATCATATAACAACATTTTGATACCACTAAAATTAATCTGTTTAAGTACCTTCAAATACTAGTGTTTTATACAAACTATTCTCAGTTTGTGACAGCGACTTTCCTGATAGACATTAATATGAACAAATAGCTTTTTCATGTGTATCAATTTGTATTTTATTTAAAAGAATTTTAAAATGTTTGTGTTAATTCAACATAGTATAAAACCTTGACCGAGCAAATGGGTTTTTGTAAAATGCTATCAATATTGTTCGTCATAAACCTCCCTCTAAACTTGAAATAAAGGATGCCAAAGATACACTGAAGAGCAACAAGTGATGGCTAGTGGTAGTGATAATTTATAGAGAGCATTAAAAAATCCAGTTTAAAGAACAAAATAAAAATGTAAATTATAAAGCTCTAAACAGGACAAGTACCATTGACTAATCTTTCTACTCGATGGTCCTCCGATTCTTCACAAGCTACATCTTCATCATTCTCATCATTTTCTCCACCTCCATCTTTCTCTTTCAGTTCTTTCTGCAAGGTCTCAGCCTCAGATAAATAAATGGAACACTGTCGTTTTAATTTATTCTTTACCTCTGCTACCATGGATTCATCTTGCCAAAAAAAAGTATAACACTTGTATGTATAAAGAAACATATGTCCACACATACAATGTAAAAACTATGCAAAATGCTTTACTGCTTGGACCAATAATCCAAAACAAAACAAGTCAGTCCAGCATATATATGTATAGAACACGATGGGATTTAATTTTTTTTTAATTTTCAAATGACTTTAACTTGAGAAACAGTTAGTGATAGACCCCTTGTTTTAACTGTTGAGGGAGGATCTGCTTATGAAAGTATGCAGGGTAAACCCCCTTGCTATGATCCTGGAATCAATTCTGGTGCATATATATGCAAGTATGGCTTTGTCTGTGGTCATTTGATTCCAGTATTTACCCAAAATTAACTATTTAGTAAATAAGGTTTTCTATTCACTTTTTAAGGTTTATAGAACATATCCTTTGTTCCAAAATATTACCAGTAAATTGTGAAAATTTCTTACTGGAAATTCAGTTACAAAAAGGTGTACTTTATTTGTATTTTGCATCAAAGTCATGAATGTCTAATGTTCAATTAAGATGCAATCACACTCCAATAACATTAAGTTGCTAAAACAAAGGGACAGAAATCCTGGTAAGGTGAGTACTAAATACAATGGAATAATTCCTGCAGGAATTTCCAACAGTTTAGCACTGTTTAATTACTTATGAAACTGTACATAGTACATTATGTTACCTTTGATTTCCTGAATCAAATGTTGTATCTCCTTTTTATATAGCTCTAATGCTTCTGCTGTTCTGTTTTCCTCTCTGGCTTTTTTGGCTTTATCAATATTACTCTGACCCTGTTTTAAAACAGATATATACACTGTATAATAATAATTACTTACAAATACAAAGATAACATTTTTTTAAAGACAGACCCAGCTATTTATAATTTTGCTGTATGAAATCTGTTTTGAAGTACAGCAACTACTATTGGAGTGTGGAATAGCAAGATTTCATATCAGCTGGTTAAAAACATTAGAGCTTGCTTTCAAGTTGAGTTTCAACAACCATAATTCTAAGCATTCTTTGTTAAGGTACAAAACTTTTTATTATATTTTTGTTTGTAAAATGTACTGGTTTTATTATCTTATATATAAATTTATAAGATAAGTGCTTTTCCTGAGCTGTTTTTTTTATTGTATAATACATGTACACACATTATATAAGAAGACCTTCACAAATTGGCATTTTCCAAATTATATCATATTATTCAGTATGATACAATATTTCTACACTGGTCAATGACAGTTAAATTTTCAAATTCAAAATGTGAGGATTGACAAGCTTTTTTAATATTTAAAATTTAACAAATGAGAATGGAGAGATTTTGTTTTCTATAAAAAAAAATAATCAACAGGAAAAGTATAAATCAGGTAGAATTAGAAAAAAATGTTTTATAGTTTTTTTCAACAGACCACTGAAATTCTGAATCAGCCTTTTGATTGTAGATTACATGTATGATGTAATTACTCGAAAATGGATTTATCTTTTTACCTATCAACATCCAAAGTTGCTTAGAGGTCAAAATTGATGAAATTAATAGTCAGAGTTCATATATACAATATATATCATATATTTTTAAACAAACATCACGAAAAATAATTTTTTTTCTGCAACTATATATAGGACATGACTGGCATATATGACCGTTTCCGGACCCTTGTATAGAACTCAAATATGACTTTATAATTCCCTTGCTGTTTGAAACAGATTCAGAAAGAGCTGACCTTGGAGAACAGTTCAGCCAATGGTCTTCCTGCTTCCTCACTTTTTTCTGTTTCAATTTGTTCTTTTACCTCTTCACTGTTCTTCAACTCTTTATTCTTATTTTGGTCCTCTGAATCCTTTCTGTCTCCATCCATCTAGTCAATTTCTTGTGTGCATCAGTTAACTTTCAGTCTCTGTCACAAAAAAAATAGTCTGTTTTTCAACCATGATACATTTGTATTTTACAGAAAGAATATTCTTTTTCACATAGATTTTTAATTTATTTATTTATAGCAGTGACTATTACAGTATATTTACAGTACAATACGATTGTTCTAGTCATTAGTGTGATGTCCATTTTTGCTGAACTAGTATACATTTTTTTTTAGGGACCAGCTGAAGCCTGCCTCAGAGTGCATGATTTTCTAACTGTGTTAAAGACCAATTGGTGGCCTTCGGCTGTTTTTTGCTCTCTTTGACACATTCCCCGTTTCCATTCTCAATTTAATATATTTTTTTTTTATTGGCTGCAAGAAGAATCAACTGATTATGTAATGTTTTCAATTTATATAAAAGCAGAGTCTACAAATATAATCATTAGCATCACCCACTATTTTTACACATCAAGGCAACGTTAGGAGTTAACAGCATAGTCAAATAAAACAAAGAATTTATGATCAGTGCTTACAAAATCAACTAGAGGCTCCAAGGAGCCTGTGTCGCTCACCTGATATTTTTGTTTACAATTGATGCATGAAACAATGCAACAATAATACTTTTTTTAAAGGAATCTGTGTGGATCAAAATCTAATCTTTCATTTTATTTTAACTGCTTTCAACCCATTTATCATATAAAAAAATTGAATTTGTCTATGTAGTTTCAGAGGAGAAGATTTTTGTAAAAGATTACAAAAATTTAAGAAAAATTGTTAAAAATTGATTATAAAGGGCAATAACTCCTAAAGGGGTCAATTTACAAATTTGGTCATGTTGACTTAATTGTAGATCTAACTTTGCTGAACATTATTGCTGTTTACAGTTCATCTCTATCTATAATAATATTCAAGATAATAACCTAAAACTGCAAAATTTCCTTAAAATTACTAATTCAGGGGCAGCAACCCAACAACCGGTTGTCTGGTTTGTTTGAAAATTTCTGAGCAGATAGATCTAATCTTGATAAACATTTTTACCCTATGTCAGATTTACTCTAAATGCTTTAGTTTCAGAGATATAAGCCAAAAACTGCATTTTACCCCTATGTTCTATTTTCAGCTATGGTGGCCATTTTGGTTGGCAGGCCAGGTCGTTTGACACATTTTTTAAAACTAAATACCCTAATAATGATTGTGGCCAAGTTTGGTTTAATTTGGCCCAGTAGTTTCAGAGGAGAAAATTTTTGTAAAAGTTAATGGATGACAACGACAACGGACGCCAAAGTGATGAGATAAGCTCACTTTCAGGCCAGGTGAGCTAAAAATGCAAACATGCTGATTTAAAATACTGGGTATTATTAATTAGTCACCAGACGAGACAAGAACACAAATGCAGCAGCAAGAAGACTAATGTAGCTGCAAGAAGATTAATGTAGTGACAAGAAGATTAATGTAGTGACAAGAAGACTTATGTAGTGACAAGAAGCTAATGTTGTGACAAGAAGACTAATGTAGTGTCAAGAAAACTAATGTAGTGTCGAGGAGACTTATGTAGTGATAAGAAGACAATGTAGTGACAAGAAGACTAATGTAGTGTCAAGAAGACTAATGTAGTGTCAAGAAGACTAATGTAGTGACAAGAAGACTAATGTAGCAACAAAAAGACTAATATAGTGACAAGAAGACAATGTAGTGACAAGAAGACTAATGTAGTGTCAAGAAGACAATGTAGTGACAAGAAGACTAATGTAGTGTCAAGAAGACTAATGTAGTGCCAAGAAGAAAAGGTAGTGACAAGAAGGCTTATATAGTGTCAAGAAGACTAATGTAGTAACAAGAAGACTAATGTAGTGTCAAGAAGACTAATGTAGTGACAAGAAGACAATGTAGTGACAAGAAGACTAATGTAGCAACAAAAAGACTAATGTAGTGACAAGAAGACAATGTAGTGACAAGAAGACTAATGTAGCAACAAAAAGACTAATGTAGTGACAAGAAGACAATGTAGTGACAAGAAGACTAATGTAGTGTCAAGAAGACAATGAAGTGACAAGAAGACTAATGTAGTGTCAAGAAGACTAATGTAGTGACAAGAAGACTAATGTAGTGTCAAGAAGACAATGTAGTGACAAGAAGACAATGTAGTGACAAGAAGATTAATGTAGCGTCAAGAAGACTAATGTAGTGTCAAGAAGACTAATGTAGTGACAAGAAGACAATGCTGTGACAAGAAGACTAATGTAGTGTCAAGAAGACTAATGCAGTGACAAGAAGACTAATGTAGCAACAAAAACCCTAATGTAGTGACAAGAAGACAATGTAGTGACAAGAAGACTAATGTAGTGTCAAGAAGAAAATGTAGTGACAAGAAGACTAATGTAGTGTCAAGAAGACTAATGCAGTAACAAGAAGTCTAATGTAGTGTCAAGAAGACTTATGTAGTGACAAGAAGACAATGTAGTGACAAGAAGACTAATGTAGCAACAAAAAGACTAATGTAGTGACAAGAAGACAATGTAGTGACAAGAAGACTAATGTAGCAACAAAAAGACTAATGTAGTGACAAAGAAGACTAATGTAGTGTCAAGAAGAAAATGTAGTGACAAGAAGACTAATATAGTGTCAAGAAGTCTAATGCAGTAACAAGAAGTCTAATGGAGTGTCATGAAGACTAATGTAGTGACAAGAAGACAATGTAGTGACAAGAGGACTAATGTATCAACAAAAAGACTAATGTAGTGACAAGAAGACAATGTAGTGACAAGAAGACTAATGTAGTGTCAAGAAGACTAATGTAGTAACAAGAAGACTTATGTAGTGTCAAGAAGACAATGTAGTGACAAGAAGACTAATGTAGTGTCAAAAGGACAATGTAGTGACAAGAAGACTAATGTAGTGTCAAGAAGACTAATGTAGTGACAAGAAGACTAATGTAGTGACAAGAAAACTAATGTAGCAACAAAAAGACTAATGTAGTGACACGAAGACAATGTAGTGACAAGAAGACTAATGTAGTGTCAAGAAGACAATGTAGTGACAAGAAGACTTATGTAGTGTCAAGAAGACTAATGTAGTGACAAGAAGACTAATGTATTGTCAAGAAGACAATGTAGTGACAAGAAGACAATGTAGTGACAAGAAGACTAATGTCGTGTCAAGAAGATTAAATGAAGTGTCAAGAAGATTAATGTAGTGACAAGAAGACAATGTAGTGACAAGAAGACTAATGTAGTGTCAAGAAGACTAATGTAGTGACAAGAAGACTAATGTAGTGTCAAGAAGACTAATGTAGTGACAAGAAGACAATGTAGTGACAAGAAGACTAATGTAGCAACAAAAAGACTAATGTAGTGACAAGAAGACAATGTAGTGACAAGAAGACTAATCATGTTAATGTAGCAACAAGAAGACTAATGTAGTGACAAAAAGACTAATGTAGCGACAAGAAGACTAATGTAGTGACAAGAAGCGACCAGAAGATTTATTTGGCAAATGCAGACTAATTCAGTCAAGAAAAAAGTTTTAGTATCAATAAATCTAACAATTACCAGGGTACTTATTTCAAATCAATAAATATAATAAAATGCTCCGCTGGGGCGCAGCTTGATACGACCGCAGAGGTTGAACCCTGAACAGTTGGGGCAAGTATGGACACAACATTCAAGCTTGATACAGCACTGAATTTGGATTGTAATTAAATATTTGACACAGCATAGGTTTCTGACACAGAATGAATGTTGTCTAAGGACTTAAAAAATTTTAATTTACCTGTTCAAACCATATCATTATTATTTGCTTTTATATATAAATCAGAAATAACCAATTTAAAATGGAAAATTTTAAAGAAAAAAAAGACCCCCCCCCCAAATTTTTTGAACCCCCTTATGATTCATCACCCCCAAACTCAATCCCAGCCTTCCCTTTGTGATATGGAACCTTGTAGTACAATTTCATAAAGATCCATACACTTACACACAAGTTATTGTCATGAAACTAGAACAATGCTTGTTTTTTGCCCCTTTTTGGCCCCTTATTCCTAACATTTGGAGGTAATTACCCCCAAAATCAATCCCAGCATTCCCTTTGTGATATGGAACCTTGTGGTACAATGTCAGAGAGATCCATACACTAACACACAAGTTATGTCTGGAAGTTACAAAAATGCTAATTTTTGGCCCCTTTTTGGCCCCTTATTCCTTAACTGTTTGTACCATAACCCCCAAAATCAATCCCCACCTTCCTTTTGTGGTATTGAACCTTATGGTAAAATTTCATAGAGATCCATTCACTTAAACTAAAGTTAGAGTGCGAAAACCAATGTGTCTTCCAACGACGACGTCATACCAATAGACGACCGCAAATTTTTTTTTCGGTCGTATAAAAATATGCATTGAAATGTTGTTTTTTTAATATGCTTGTATTTAAGTTATTTCCATTATCATGATTATTTCATTATATTGATAAAGAAGTTTAAAAAAAAAATAGGTTTTTTTTTATTTATTATCAAGAGTATGTGTGGTGCTTTATAACTACATGTATATGATCCTATACATGTATGTTTGACATTTCTATTGTATTATTTATATCCACTACTAAATACTGAAAACATAAACCCATTACTTATTAATAAAAGAAAGTTATGCATTAAGTAAACACCTTGACTCACAAGGAGTTTACACATGGTCCACATTTATCAAAGATTCTACACGAGAAATGAACATTGATACAATGTATACAAAAAAATAGTTTCCTGTAAAAATATGAAAGAACTAAAGATTTCGATTAAGAATATTTCAACCAAAATTTATTCAGAATTACTGGAAAATAAACTAACCAGTTTAAACAAACATAACAAACTTTTTCTAAAAGCATTCAAGACAAACTAGACCAAGAATTTTATCTTAGATATCCAAATTTTGAAACTGGCTGTTTATTTACAAAAATTAGAATCAGTGACCATAATTTACTTATAGAAAAGGGCAGATATCTGCATATACCTTGAAACCAAAGAACATGTCTAGCTTGTAAAACCACTTTCTCCTCTTCTGTCAAAATGATAAAATTTTACACATTAAACTTTTTAATGACATTGCAATTGGATATAATCCGATATTTCCAAATCTGTCTGACACTGAAAAACTAGTAGTCCTATATCCTTCAATTACCATGATTACAAACCGGGTGAAAAAAACAGGTTCCTTTATAAAACAGTCTTTAGAGCTGAGGACAGGGAACTCTTAGTTATTTTTGCTTGTATATTATATAATTTAGACAGTCGGGTCATAATCTTAATGACTTTAACCGAGTGATTGAACAGAACATTCATGACATTCACTGGAGTGATGCCCAGCAACAGGTACAGGAAAGCTTTTGGATAAAGGAATTAAATGTACATCATCTAAATGGCATCAATAAGAAATACTAGCAGTTTTATTATACACTCATTTTTGGATGTATATATTCACAGTCACGTCTATTGAGTATTGAGTTTTGTTTTATATTATCATGATTATGATGTTCAAGATTTGGGATTAAATCAATAGACCAAAACTTACCTGTATTATTGAGCTATTTTACACATACAATTAGTATTGTTAAAATTATTGACACTGAAGAAGGCTATTTGTTTAGCCAAATTATTTGTCAACACGTTTTTATAACATCATCCTTGTATATTACCATCTTATATTAGTACTGTTGCAGTCTTCACGCTGAACCACAGGCCCAGCAGCCCAGGCTTGTAAAATTGCTCTCGGGCCTGTAAAAATCATATTTACAGGCCAACAGAATCTTACAAAATTTTCCAAAAATTGAGCTCCGGGCCTGTAGATTTTAAAGTTCATCGTGAAGACTGCGTTGTGCAAATCTTTATACTAATATATTTTTTCCTTATCTGCGCAGTATCGTCTATTCTAGATGATCCAGTATATAATAAATTTGCTGGTTGGTCCTTTATATAGACTTCTCTCTATATATATATATATATATATATATATATATATAAACGCCTAAAAAGTGTACAAAATAACACCAATACATGTATAACAAAATAAACTGCTTCGCTGAGCGCAGCTGGATATGCCAGAAGAGGTCCAACCCTGAACAGTTGGGGCAAAAATGGACACAATATTCAAGCTTGATCCAGGTCTCAATTTGGATTGTAATTAAATATTTGACATATTATAGGTTTCTGAACAAATGTAGCCAAAGAACTTGAAATTGGTTATATGAATTGAATTTATATTCAATTAAAAATTTCTTGCTGTTGTGCAATACTTGATAAATCTGTTGTCAGGACTATAAACAAATAAAGTTCAATTTCTTCTCAATGTCATATTTGAAATTTATGAAAATCGATAGGGAGATTACATTAATAGCTATAAATAATTCACCAAAGTTTCATGAGAACTGCTGAAAGCATTTCTGAGTTATTGTCCAAAAACTGGAAAATCCCCCCTTTTTAAATGAATAAAACCCCATAACTCGGAAATGTAAAATCTAAAATTTATAAAATTCTAAAGGGAGGTTACATCAACAGATATTAACAATTCACCAAAGTTTCGTGAGAACTGCTGAAAGCATTTTTTAGTTATTGTCCCAAAACTGGAAAATCCCCCTTTTTTTATGAATAAAACCCTGTAACTTGGAAACGTAAAATCTAAAATTTATAAAAATCGAAAGGGAGCTCATGTCAATAGATATAAATAATTCACCAAAATTCCTTGCAAGTTGGTGAAAGCATTCTTGAGTTATTGTCGGGAAACTGGAAAATCTCCCCTTTTTTAATAAATAAAACCCATTAACTCGGAAATGTAAAATCTAAAATTTATAAAATTATAAAGGGAGATTACATCAATAGCTGTAAATAATTCACCAAAGTTTCATGAGAACTGCTGAAAGCATTTTTGAGTTATTGTCCAAAAACTGGAAAATCCCCCCTTTTTTAATGAATAAAACCCCATAACTCGGAAATGTAAAATCTAAAATTTATAAAATTCTAAAGGGAGGTTACATCAACAGATATTAACAATTCACCAAAGTTTCACGAGAACTGCTGAAAGCATTTTTTAGTTATTGTCCCAAAACTGGAAAATCCCCCTTTTTTTATGAATAAAACCCTGTAACTTGGAAACGTAAAATCTAAAATTTATAAAAATCGAAAAGAAGCTCATGTCAATAGATATAAATAATTCACCAAAATTCCTTGCAAGTTGGTGAAAGCATTCTTGAGTTATTGTTGGAAAACTGGAAAATCCCCCCTTTTTTTATTGAATAAAACCCAAAAACTCGGAAACAGTATATCTGAAATTTATAGAAAACGAAAGGGAGCTCACGTCAATAGATATAAACAATTCACCAAAGTTTCATGCATATTGGTTAAAGCTTTTTTGAGTTAATGTCCGACATGTTGATGACGGACGGACGGACAGATGGACAAACGGATGGACAGATGGACAGACGGACGGACAGACAGTCAACGGTATACCATAATACGTCCCGTATACGGGCGTATAAAAAGGAAACATTAAATGTAATTATCTATAAATATTTTCGGATAACAGATATCCTTCATCAGTATGATTATGATGTAAAATGAATCATATCAGATTATGATGTAAAATGAATCATATCAATCTATTCTGATTAAACTATAACAATCTTGAAATTTATACAATAAAACAGTCAAAACCGAAAATCATAGAGACGCTTGTACAATACTAAAATTTCAAAAATGACTTAGATTATGTAGCTATTTACAACAGAGACTGCAAAGATATGCTTCAAATAAGAATAGTAATGTGTGATATGAAATGGTATAATTCTAAAATTTCACAGGTGAAGACAGTTAAGATGTTACAACAACGATAGCGTGGAAATACATTTCCAATAAACAGCACTGTCTGATCTACGCTGGTATAATATTTCAAATTTGACAACAGTATATTTTAATAATTGAAATTAAACAGTTAAATGCAAAGTTACAAATAACAATGAATTCTCAAGTACCTGGTTTATTAGTCCAAATAATTATGATACATGTGACAAATACAAATATATATACATGTGTATATATTTACATTTGGGTTATATTACATATTACTACACAGTCTCAGTGTTTCTATTTCTTTACCTTTGTCAACTCTAAAAATTTTTTTAATTATACCAGTTTAAATTGCTTGGTTCTATTCATTTTGGAGGGATGAACAAGTACGCAGTAACTTTCAATTATTTAACCTTTGCCAAAATTTATTATTATTGTTTTAATCATTATGATTGTTATTTGCAACTTTGCATTTAACTGTTTAATTTCAATTATTAAAATATTTGTGATTTACAAACAATCAAATACGAAAAAAATATATTTAAGACCGAAGTGATCATAATTTATATAAATAAGCTTGACAGATGATACCAAAAACTATAGAAGATTTCTACTTCTTTTAAAAGTTCTTTTTGCTTTTCTCCAACGAAACGACTGTACCCTCGAGGATTGTTGATGAAACGGTTGCGGTCTTTTGTTAAGACCGGGAACCATAAAAGATTTTACTAAAAACCGATTAAAAGTGGAATGAAAAGACCAAATATAAACTACATATAATTATATATATATAGTCATCTTATAGTAGTGTTACGTTAGTAGGAAGGTTCCCATGCTATTTTGCCGGCTTTGGGTAAGCGGAAGCCAATTTTGACAGTAGAAAATATCTAAACAACTGCTTATTATTTCAAAAGCAAATTTTTATCAAATTTAAACATTTTTTTTTATTTTGAAGCTATGTGATTGATTTTGTTTAATGATCTTTAATAGCTTATATAATATTTTTATCAAATTTACATGCATTGAGATTTTTATCTTTTCTGTTTTTTTTTTACAAAATACAGTTAAAAAATCTTAAGAATTGTGTTACAAAAAGGAAAAGGCAGCTATACTTGTTGTTTACATGCCCTACCCCCCCCCCCCCCCCTTTACACCCCAATATATATATATATATATATATATAAAACGAAAACAAACAAACAAACAAACATAGACTATATAGATTATGATATCATGGTTTTAGAAAAGCGACTTTGTATCAATATCGAAATGTTAATACCATTCATGTATTAATTAAGGAACACTTGGTTTTATCAGAGACATATAATATAATATATGTCTCTGGTTTCTGGTTTTATCATGAGCTTTCGTTCTACTGCATCAAGATTTGGACACAATATGTCGAGCTTTCGTTCTACTGCATCAAGATTTGGACACAATATGTCAGTAACCTGGTTCAAATAATTAACAGAAGACCGAGGAATTATTAACTGCCAAAAAACGACGTAAATGTGGACGATAAAAATCTCTTTTTGATAGTTTGGCTAGTATTTTGATTACGAAAGAAAACATATAGATTCAAATACCAGTATAAATATATGATAATGATATCGATGTAAAAGTAATATATTAAAAAGCCAAACAAACTTTATTGAAGGGAATCGTAATATCCATATAGATTTTGTAAAACATATCATAAAAATTTCAATAATTGGACAGTAACTACGATTTAGACAGAAATTCAAAATACGATTTTGTTTCAAGTCTTAATTTGAAAACCGGAATTTTGAAACAATATTTCGATAAAAGCAGTCAGTTTGACCCCAATTTGTCGAAAAATAAGCTAAAAACATCGCTGATGTATTGATTTCCAAGTCAATAATGCAACCTCGTGTAAATCCATATTCATGTGACCTTCAATTAAACCCCTTAGCTAGAGATGGGTTACGCATGTACTAGGTGTGTTCAACTATTGAAAGGAAAATGATTTCAAGATTGAAAGAGAAAAAAGGTTTAACCTTTTCGATGGCTTATTCGATCCACAAAAAAATCATTTTATGCATTTAAAAAAGATGATTAACATATTCTTTTAATATATAACATGCAATCAAACAGACCTAGAAAAATCCAATTGCACTTGCTCGCTATCTATTTTTATTTATATTTATGTTTATATCGTGTTAAAGGGTGAAAGTAAGGTGTTTATATAGCCTGTGGAAGTTTTGTATTTTTTCTTAACAATCTCTCTGTTTGACATGTAAATATTTCCCTTGAATCATAGATGCCATAATGGAAAATAAAGTAGAAAAATAATTAAAAGTAAATATATATATATATAAAACGAAAACAAACAAACAAACAAACATAGACTATATAGATTATGATATCATGGTTTTAGAAAAGCGACTTTGTATCAATATCGAAATAAAGTAGTACGGATATGAACGTAGATAACGAATTTACAGGGGAGGTAATGACGTTGCTAACGTAAAATGTTATTTTTCACGACGTCAAACTGTGACATATCGGGAAAAGATGCATTTTAGACAGATTTTTATCAATTAAACCGATTTAACTTGAAAACATGTTCATGGACCCTTCTTTTTGAAAATGACATTTGGCTAAATTATGCATGAAGATTATTTGTGCCAATTCTTATGAAAAAAAAAACCGATGAAATTTTTTTAAATTCGATAAATATACAGCAAAAAAAGCCATTCTTTGACTAAAATCATGAAAATGTGACAAAATGAATAATGTCCAAAGAATTGTTACATAAATTCAAAGCACACTTATGTAGAGAAGATATTCCAGATGCTTTTACAAAAATCCGCTTGCGGTTATCTTTTGAAACTAAAAAGTTAAGTATGTCTTTCCAAAGGACAGAAATGTCCAAGGAACCGAAATTTCCAGTAAATTTCTAAAATTTCGACCCCATTTATTTCTAAAAGTAGCACATGAAGGTATATTTTTTATTACATATTTGAATTGACTAGGTGAAAAATAGCTTGCATGTAAACTTCCGTCAAAAATACACCGTGGGGTCAAACTGTATCGTATGCCCTTAAACACAAGCTTTGATGAAGTTTTACACCTTTGTAACCGTTCTTTAAGTTATAATTTGTATTACAGTTCAGGTTCTTCTTATGACCGAATTAACGGTATTGAAATATGATAATACAGACGATGATGATAATATTTAATGAAGTATTTCTTTTCTGTCACGTAACATAGCTGTGTACAAATGCAAAACACAACACCCGTCGTCAGGTTATTATATCTTATAATCATGAAACTGGAACTGCCCGGGCAACAATTACGACAACAATGATAAGATCATGACACCGCAGACTAAATTCTTGTTGATATCGTTTTTTATCTATCTGTGCAGCTGTGAAATCCAGTCGTGTACAATTTAAAATCTATAGATATCTACGCATTCAAAGATAAAGCGGCGTCTGTAATTTCCGATATATATATAAAGGTGTTTTTCTAATAAATAAAGCTGTATGCGTTTAATAAAAATGAGCTTTAGAGCCAAGGAAGCAACATGATATTGTAAAAACAAAAATATGATCTATAGGTCAAATAAAGGTCTTCAATTATAGTCTGTTTTCACAAAATGCTAGACAGTCTATTGATTAAACTATTTAAAAAAAAAATAATTATGGTACTTAAATACGTTGAACGAGGACGACGAGAATCATTGTTACCAAATGCAAATAATGCTTTATAAATGTATGCGCCCAAAGCTAGATTACTCTTATCAGGGGTAAACACATTTTCTTTTCTTTTGTAATATCAAAAACCGTCATGCGCTTTTTTTTTTTCATACACGAATAAACTTGGGCGCATGTTGTCCACTCTGTATCTTCTCCCTTATTTTTTATTATGCATGGCTTGTAAATCTCTTTGGTGTCTTACCATATGATTGGTCATACAATTCATTTGTAATCAGGATTACCGGAAGGGCTAGGCATACGTAGTTACTACAACCACTCAGAATAAATAGAAGATTTGATAAATATAAATAAGATAAATCGGTATTGAATAGTTTTGGTTTATTTGACACTAAAGCTCGCATTACACCTGTTTCTTAGCCTCGTACAAATATACAAATACAGCTGATATTTAAAGACACTTAACAATTATTGTCTATATATCTTGGGTGTTTCAAAGAACCAGTCTTTTTTCCTTGGTGTTATTAATTATATAAAAGATCATAAAATAATTTGGAAACATTGCGATTGACCTCGCGACTAACACTTGAAAACACGAAAAAGAATTTCAGAAATTGTCTTGTCTACTTCAAATTAATTTGTACTTTATGTGGAAAGTGTATGTTGAATTAAGATTTACTATACTGTATGCATTATCAGCCCCACACACATTTTTGTTGGCGTCTTTGTCAGATTTATTAGTTGTATGTTTGTTTGCATTTTAAGAAAGTTGTGCTTGTATGTCTATGATGTATTTTTACACAATTTTGGGTGATAGATCTCAATGATTGGGAAAGTTTTTATGAAAACTGTTTGTACTTTCAACTACAAAAACGTTTTTTGTTGGCGTCTTTGACATATTTATTTGTATGTTTCTCAGTTGTGTTTGTATGTTTGTGATGTATGTTTACACAGTTTTGTCTACTGGATCCCAATTATTGTCACGCAAACTAATTATATCCGTTTGGGTTTCTCACCCAATTTTGTTTATACAACGGAACTGTAAACACCTGTCATACGAATGAGAGGGTTAGCCAGCTGTAACACCTGATTCAGCCCACGGTTTCCTTCTGAAAATGCTTGTACCAAGTCAGGAATATGACATTTGTCTTCCATCTATTCCATTGGTTGATGTAGTCGAGCGTTCATTTTGTCAGGTTTTATGGAATTCCCCCTTTTTTTAATTTACCTTAGAGTTTGATAATTTTGTTAAAATTTTCTGCTCGGGAAGTTTACCTTCTTTTATGCAATGGAATGTTATGTGAACTGTTCACTGTAGAACTGGGAATGATACATATACTTAATATACAGATTATTCATGACAAGTTGTTCTTTATTTGAAACAAAGGTTAGTTCTACACACTGTTTCAAAAAAATCCAAGTATACGAAGACTAATTGAAAACAAACATGGTGGTATAGTACACTATTAAAGGTCAAATTACAGTAAACGGGCTATGTGGTCAAATTTATTTTTGCATACAACTTCGGCTCATTGAACTTCCAGTATAATAGTAACTAAAAATCGAAAAAATAATGCATTTATCTCTTTTATTTTCTGAAATATTACTGACTAAATTCTTTCAAAATAGGTTACCATTTGTATAGAACGCACATGAAATCGGGGGAAACGTTCATCAATTTTATGTAGAATACTAATTTGAATGCATCATGATCATGATCATGACGGGTATGTTGGTGACATTTTTCTGACGAGAACGAGAGAGAGAGAGCTGTTTAATAAGAACTTAGCCATTTAACCACATCAAAAATACAACTTGTGTTATAAACACAGGAATATTGCTAGTTATCGATTTTATCATAACTTCACATCATTTCACATATTTGTAATACAGACACAAGGAACTTGACATTGATTCGTATCAAAATAAAAAAAATTGCAACATAAGTACAAAGATCTTGTCAGTCTCCACCTAATTACACCATTGTAATTT